GGTAGGCACCTAACAGCGGTGAAGCAGGCCGGGTTAGGCGGCGTACTGCGGCAGAATAGTGGGTCCAACGGAGCCGGATCTCGGTAACTGCTCCGGCGAAGCCGGAGATATCAATCCGGGCTCTAGCCCGTGACAATATCTTCAGGAACTTTACAAGAGATATGAACTCATCCATCGCTTGGCTAAGATGGTTTACATCACATATACCTTTGGAACCAAGCCCCTAGTCTCCTATCAATGATTACTGCGCTTGGCTTTAAAGGTGATAGCGAACCAACGCAATGAACAAAGGCAAGTCTAGATTAACTATCAACGCTACTAGATGCTCGCGGGAACGTATCGGGCGTTCCGGAAAGCGTCGTGAAAATAGATAGATGCAAGTATTGCCGAGCTGTAGGCTTGCGACCTACGGACGGCCAAAACATAGCCTTAAAGACTCAACATTTGAGCTAGGTGTCCCAGGGATATTCAACTATCGCGCGCCGAACTGAATTGATGCAAAATTACTTTGTGAACGAAAGCTTTGGTGATGATATCTTGTCATTGAAGGCTTGGCCTCAGAGGTCACGGTCAATCGAGCTAGGCAGCTCTAGTCAGCTACTGATCATCAGACACGTCGGCGCTGATCCTGAATGGAATTTGACATTCCGTGACGGCTTTCAGAAATAAGCAATTACGGCTCCTCTGAGACGAGCGACTGCAGCGAGCCCTGCCCCTGATCATGCGCTAGAAATAGGCCAGCTTACTGCTAGTGTCGGGTAAGACCTAGGCAGCCGCGAAAAGAATGTTTGGCTGTGCGAAGGATCAAACGGTGCTTGGGTAGCTTACCCGAACTTGGAGTAGTGCTTACCCTGCACTGCGACCTCCAAGCTCCCACTGTGGCGATGACATCCGTGGTCTTACGGGGCTTGGCTGACTTTAAAGCAGAGCTGCCCCCGGTATTGGGTCTTTTTGGCAGGGGCTGAATGGGCTGGACGGGATCGATCTCTTTTGTCGATAGACTTGCAGCAATACACCACCCCAGGCGCCAGCTCCCGGCGGCACAGCAAAAAGCTTTTTTTCGCGATGAACCAGGGAGACCACATCAGGCGCAAGCCTACTCCGTCCTACGTGCCACCGCTGGGGTATGATGAAGCCCTTTTGCTCGCTTCGGCCGATACTCAAGTCTACGACTGGAGCCCAGAGAACAACACAGGGGCACAATCTTCAGGAGACCACCGCCAAGATAGGGAGAGCAAGGAGCCAAAATCTAGCACCACATTCGGGACCCGTGAAAGCGAATACGAACTTGTCAAAACCAGCAGCGCCGACAAGAGCAAGGAGAGGTCAATACGCAGAAAACGCCCAAGATTCTACGTCTTACGAGGGTGGTGGCAGGAGATCGCGTGGTCCATCATCAGCCTCATATGCGTCATTGTATTGGTCACTTTGTTGAACTCCTACGATGGCAGACCATTGCCAAGTTGGCCATCAGGTCTAACGCTCAATACTGTCATCGCCTTTGTGTCGACCATCTGTCGGACTGCTTTCATCCTACCGGTCATGGAAAGCTTGTCGCAGTACAAGTGGAATTGGTACAAGAAGTCGCCGAGACCGTTGGCAGATTTTCGCGTCTTCGACGAAGCCAGCAGAGGACCTTGGGGGAGCTTGAAGTTGCTTGTCACAACGAAGGGAAGGTCAGTACCTTACCTTACCTTGTTGCTTTCGAATAATACTGACCATATAACAGAATCATAGGTATCATGTCCGCTATCATCCTCGTATCTGGAATTGCTACGTCGACTCTGACTCAGTCCGTTGTCACATACCCAACCCGACATACTGTTTTGCCAGCAAATGACAGCGCGTTGACAATGAGAAATGATGGATACTTTTGGGCAACAGCAAACGGCAATGCAGTTCGTGAGTTATGTTCTATCCCCCCTGTCAGTCTTTGGCGAACTAACAAATCACAGGAGACATCATGTTTCCCATCAACCAGGCTATACCTCGAGCCTTGAACACTCCTCCAGATGAAGTGATGCCGTATCATCAACCTAGCTGCCGAACCAACAACTGCACATGGCCAAGTTTTAGTACTCTTGCTGTTTGCGTGGACATGAAGAGTTCGTACTATTCTCGGCATAATGCCTACTTACATGTATGCGTTAATCGGGACTAACGTACAAGGCAGATGTAACAAATCTTTTAACAACAGACGGAGATCCCATTAAGGCCGGCACAAACGCAACATTGCCCAACGGCGTATTGATGCAACGAAGTGCTTATGGGTATCACAATATGAACATTTCCACAGGCACGAGTCTTTCGTACAACGATACGGACATCATCAAGGCAGAGCTCTTCAACTTCTTTGTTCTCTACGGTCCTGCCCCCACACAACTTCGAGCGTATGAGATCATGATGCACTGGTGTGTCAATACGTACAACGTAACAGTCCAGAACAATGTGCCTATAACTCAGCAAGTGGCCTCGTACACGAAGCCTAACCTCGGAGAGGTCTTCGTACAGAACTACAACATGACAATCAACGGCACCTATCTGACGTCGCCGGACAGTCCCGGGAAGCAGTACGTTGCTAGTGGTATGGGCCCAGACAACATAGCGGGGGCTCTATCAAACACATTGGTCGGGTATTACATCGATCTGGGGGCTTACACCTTTAACAACGGCTCGGAGATATACGGAACAGCTCTCTCAAGAGCAGCTATCGGCATCAACCCGTTGAACGAATCGCAGAAGTTGGACGATGCATATTTCATAACACTGATGAATCTGACTCAAAACATCGCAAGCGGACTTACAAACGCGTAAGAACTCTCGGCAATAGTATATCTATGGTCAAAGGCTCACAAAAACACAGGTTGCTTACTACGAATGAGAGCGGGAGTGCTTGGCAAGACGAAGTCTTCGTCTCCATCCGATGGCCGTGGTTGACACTGCTGGCGGCTCAGGTTGGACTTTCAATCATTACGCTTCTGATCATCATCATTCAGACTGCTGGATTGGACATTGAGATTGTCAAAGGGTCTCCACTCCCAGCATTCCTTGCTATGAACCCCGACGAGAAGACCGCACTCATGAGGGAACAACAGGAGATGGATATGCGCAACAGGGACAGTGAGCTTCAGATACCTCACCTCAGAGCTCACGGTATTGTGGGAGGTCTCGAGAGACGGGGCGAAGAGTGGGTCCTTCGAAGTTCGGACAGATGACAGTAATGTGTATATGTAATAGTGAGTGGTTGTGATGACCATGAGACTCAAGATCAAACACATCTTGGAAACTATTAATCCACGGTTGTCGAGCCATGATCGCGAATGCGGACCGAAATGGCGAAGTTTGGTCATGTCTATGCAAACTTGACGCCGTTCCTCAACGTTCCGATATTCGTGATGCTGACTTCCATTTTGGATCTAGGTAAGAGCCACTTAGGCGGCTTCAAGCTTCCTCCAACTCCTTTTCGGATTCCTCACATCAGCATCTAAGGGGGCTCAAGCGATGATTTTCTAAACTCACCTCCAGGTGTTCCTGTCATTATGACCGAACCTTTCTGCAGTGTGGTGCCTGAAGAAAGGTATGAAATAAGATAGGCGCAGTCAAATAACAGATCAGAGATCATCTCCTTTTGCCTTTCTTCCCCGTCGACAGTTGTGCGTAGAAGCAGAGCTTCGGGATCACCCACTAAGTCGGGCCTGACCAGACAGGGTCCAAGGGGGGCGTAAGTATCGAAGCCTTTAGAGAATCCCCATTGAGGCACATTGCCAGCGAACGCAGGATCGCGCTGCAATTTCCGAGATGACACGTCGTTGCCGCAAGTGTAAGCGGCAATAAAATCGAAGGCTTCTGACACTGTCACATCCTTCGCATCTTTGCCTATGACTATGCAAAGCTCACCCTCATAGTCTGCTTGGTCATTTTGGCAAATCTTGGGGACAATAACGTCGTCTCCATGATCAAAGACCGTAGTGTTTGGTTTGAAGAAAATTGAGGGAAAAGGTGGTGGCTTACGGCCAGCTTCTTTGACTGTAATGGAGTAAGTCAAGACTGTCTCTCTTGAAACGAGGATGGCTTACTATGAGTGGCGTAGTTCAAACCAACACATCTGAGGATTGGGACATCTTCCGGGGTCAAGGGCCCGAGCAACTTCTTCACTGTCACGATCTCGTCGGTGACTTGAAGTTGGCCTGTGGTGTCGTATATGTCGGAGCCTTGAATGACCTTTGCCTGCAGCTTGGTGTCTTCAGTGGTGTTTCCGAGATCAAAGTCATCATTGGGTAAGATTGGCTCTCCTCGAAGTATTCTTCCGTCGTCGGCGACGAAACGAATAAGTCTTTTCCAGGGCACGTGCATGTCGGGAATAAAAGTTGGCGCTTTTGTTCGTATTGTTTGAATTATCGTGCGAATTAACACTGATATCATCAGCGAACAAGACTCGTCGCTGGCTTTTGAGACGTGGTTAACCGTCACAAAGTGCCGTTATCGGGGGACTGTGACACCGCTGTCGGTGTTGAGGCTGGCAATGCCGGGCGGGGTTAGAGCTAAGTCCCCGACCCATCGATTGCCACCAACCGAACCCAGCAGTACGGCTTTCAGGTCTACCAAGAAAAGGAGATTAGGCGGTCGTTGAATCTCCGAGAGCATAATGCGGGGAAAATCATACGGTTCCCAGTAAAAGGTCTGTCGGGGAGATAATGGGTTCCTTCGAAATCGACCAGCATATTGGGGAAAACTGAACCACACGACACCAGATCCACATCAGCAGTTCAACTGAGGCGATGCCTTCCTCATATGAAACTAGCTGAACTGAGACGGTGCGGATGGTAAAAGTTCACAACAAGGCATCATCATCATTCTAATTGGAAGCAATCCTGTCGCCAACGGACATTCAACGCCGACTACTGTTCATTGCAAAATGCCTTCTGTAACAGAGCTACAGACAGTGCCTCCGAAGACGACGTCGTTGAAGTCGCTGGGCTCAACACCTGAGTCGCTTTCGTTGAAAGACCATGCAAACGGTAACGCGACTCGTGCCCCTGTCAAAGGCTCGAGCAACTGCCACATACCAACCGCACCATCGTACCCATCCAACTGCCTTAAGTTTCTCCGAACGCTGGAAACCGAGGCGGGCGTTGTCGGTGATGTGGCTCAGGCTATCGTTCCTCTAGATGCTCTTATAGTGGGTGCTGGGCTTGGTGGTCTGGCAACCGCAGTTGCTCTTGCTAGAAAGGGACACAAAGTGACTGTTTTGGAGCAGGCTACGCTTCTCTCAGAGGTAAGAATAAAAGACAAGCGAATCCCTCAAAGATGGAACATCTAATAACTCGGAATAGGTCGGCGCTGGCATCCAGATTCCACCTAACTCGAGTAAACTTCTTCAGCGATGGGGAGTCATGGATGTCATGGCCGAGCAGGCGGTTCGACCAGACGGAATCTCTTTTCGACGATGGGAGAACGGCGAGCGCATTGGGTTTACCGACCTGTCCCAAACCTTTGTAGAGCTCTGTGGCGCTCCGTATTACGTAGCGCACCGAGCCCATCTTCACTCTGCACTGTACAAGCGGGCGCTGGACCTTGGAGTCACCGTACGCCTTGACAGCAGGGTTGCCAACTACAATCCTCTGGCACCAACTGCTACGTTGTGCAACGGTGAAGTCGTCTCTGCAGACATCATCATTGCAGCTGACGGTGAGTGTCTTGTTCATTCATTTACCATATTCACGCCATTCAACACTTACACTGACAAAACAACGCTTGAATAGGAGTCAAATCTGTTGCTAGGGATCTCGTACCGTATGGCGAGGGACATGGACCTAAGTACACTGGCTTTGCTGTATACAGAGCCACGGTCGATGTCAGTAAAATGCGAAAGATTCCCGAAATCTCATGGCTTTTGGAAAAGCCGGGTCTCCACGTGTGGTATGTCAACGGTTCGATAGACAAACTGCGTCATTTCTATGTCGCTGACAATGGGATACAGGATCGGAGAGGATCGCCACGTCATGACCTACACAATCGCCGCTGGAGAGTCATTCAATATGGTGCTTTCTCATAGGGACTGTCGAGACCCTTCGACATGGCAGCAAAAAGGCCAGGCCGATGTGCTCAAGGAGATGCGGGCCGAGTTTCAAGGCTGGGACAATCAGTAAGTGCTGGTGCTCTCTTTTATCTGCGATCAACAGAACTAACAATTATCCGATAGACTCACCAAAATCATTGAGCTCATTGACCAAACAATTAAGTGGCCTCTGATGGCAGGTGACCCCCTCCATAACTGGGTTGCGGAGTCCTCTCGGATGGTCATTCTCGGCGATGCCGCCCATGCCATGCTTCCATACATGTCACAGGGCGCCGCGATGGCAGTCGAAGATGGTGCTGCCTTGGCTGTAGCGCTCAGCAACATCACAAGCCAGGATCAACTTGGACTTGCTTTGCAGGTATTCCAGCAGGAAAGAAAACGGCGGACTTCCATGATGCAGGAGGCAAGCATGGTGAATGCCTTTTTGTGGCATTTCAAGGATGGACCTGAACAACGAGCTCGAGATGCGGCGATGCAGCCTGAAGTTGAAGGAAGAAGATTTGCTAGCAGTCCAAATCAGTGGTCCGATCCGCTAACGCAGTCATGGGCATACGGATACGATGCCGAGGTCATCATGGAAGAGCAGTGGCGACGGGAGATGACTCGAACGTCTGAGTGCTCGAGTGATTAGGGGCATTAAATTAGAACAAGCGTTGTGGAATTGCTATCACAGAAAGTTCCCACATGGTTACCTATGCTTATTGAAGAATGTTCGACCTATATATAATCAGAATGATTTGCGGTGGTCACCACGCAGAGGCGATGTTGATAATTCTACGTTATAAGTTCGTTTTTGCTGATTCATCCCAAGTTTCCCCAAACTTGATACATCGAATGCACGCAAAGAATTATGGAAGCAACCAGTCCTCAGTCTCTAGAATGCGGCCGAAGGATCGGGAGGTTCTGTGGCATTCGCAGCTAAACTACCAGAAAAGATCCCCAGTCGCAAAGTCATCCATCAGCTCAGACATTGCAAACGGCCCACTAGACGCAGAGAAGTCATTGAAATTTGGTGGGAGAAAGTTCATTAAATCCGCAAAGGCTTCGTCCATGCCATTGTTTGCTGGAACATTGACTGGAAGCACTTCCCCGGTGGGAGGGATCACCTGGATTGGCGCATCCGGGACTATGCCATTGTCTCTCGCCGGAACTAATTGGTTGTTAGCTGGATCCGAATCTCCCCGATACTTTTGATAGTTCCTACCTGCTGAGAGGCTCTGTACAAGGAAGATCAAGGTCGCGGTGAACTTGGCACACTTTTCGACCATTTGGTTTTGATTGTCTAGGCGTGCTATGCAATTCACCGCATCCTTCAGCACCTCGTCGAGGCGCTCAGTGGCGTTGGAGTAGCTTCGATCAAACGGTGATGGCGAAGATCTTTCCTCGATCATTTTAATGGCAACAATCGTCAACGCCGCATTGAAGGCTACAAGAGAGCATTAGGTGGAATCTTGGTCAGGGAGAAAGTACGTACTGAAGTAAAGACTGAACCACCAAGCCCCAAGATAGGAAATGGTAGGCTGCTTGTCACTTGAAGACTTGCAAGCTTCAACAAGGCGGATGATGCTTTCCGCAGACTGAAGACATGCGTCCTTACTAAGGTACCATCCTTGTTGAAGGGTTGCCGTCTCTTGATCTGTCTGCGGAGTTCCGTCAAGAGCCTGCAGGCAGCGATCCAGGATGGGCCTATGAGACAATATGTGCAGGTTGTGGTACCGAAGAGTCAGGATAACTCGGAATTTGAGTGATATTGGACTTTCCGCTGAGTCACATATCTCTGAAGGTTCAACAAGCCGCATGGACGTTGGAAGTGATGCTTGCCAGGCAGCTAGTTTCTGTCCAGTGTGGATCACGGTCGACACGATATTCGCCGGCGGAAGTGGTGTCACGCTAGAGCCAAGGTTGCTCTCGTAAAGTTCATCAATAACCGATGCCGTAACACCATACAAAGTCCTGTGGAACTGGTCAACCACCAAATCAACTTTTGACAGAGGTATAGTCAGCAGCAATGGCGTACAAAGATCCGTTCCAAAAGAGAGTGCTGTTTTCATTTTGAGACCATCGAAGAATCTTGGAGTTGTCTGGATATGGGATAAAGTGACTCGGCTGAGGTGTGCGAATGTAGATTTGTGGAACGATCGGCGGCCTTCCGAACGTTAAGCTCAATGTCCTATTGCAGCATGAGAGAGAGTCGATAGCAGCAGCGTTGAATCAAGAAAACAAACCTATCGAGCGCAACACACCCATACCATGTACGGATTCTTATTTCTCTTTCCAATGGATCGAATCTCTGAAGAGCAAGCTGGGAGTGGAGCCCCAGTTCCATTGCGGCCTTGACTGCAATCCCATGAATGGCCCATGTTTGGATAGACCGTTGGCTACCCTGCAGATATTGGGACATCAAAAGCATAACTTGAACTGAGCAAGCAGTCAGTGATGGTCCATGCCTCGGTCAACTAGGGCAAGAGTGGCATCATACCTGCTTCGACGTTGGCTGTGGCGCCCATCTGACTCATCGAGAGCACCTTAGCACGCCTGTAATAGACCTCTGAGATGGCTTGTCTATCGTTCAGCCCGAGTCCGTCTGCATTAGCTGTGCTTGTCGCCATAGCAAGAATCATGTTTAATAATGAAAGCCACGAATGTCTAGCATTCTTCAACCCTGTCGCTCGGAACTGTGTGTAGTTTTTCCAAAAGCTGTCTTCGTGGACATAAGGAAACAGAAGTCCAGTGTCGGAGAAGAACTGGCGGATGAGACGTGTTAGTTCTGGCTCGGGTGGAAGACGACTCGCTTCTGCGGGTGTCTCTAGTTTCCTATAGTCGTAAGAATCGTCTATGGGGGATTCTGATCTAGAAACAGCAAGAATATGTTGCTGTGCATCTCGATCAGGCGAGACAACCCCGGGTTGTTGACTTTTCTGCGCATTGTGAAGCAAATGGCTCAAAGTCCGACGGATGATTCGAGTGAAAGCAATGTTGGATGAGGGGCCTATGATACAATAAGGTCAGTAAATGGGGAACTGACAAGGTCACGAAAACAGCGTGTTATTAATGACAGCATCATACCAAAATAGGCCCATGTCTCTTCATTGCCGAACTCAATAGTGCCCACCCCATCTGTGGCATCTGGGGATATACCGGGCAAGCTTCCGTCTTCGACGTGAAGGGAGTCTTCCCCATAAGGGCTTTCAGATGGATGGTCGCGACGCGACGAGGTGCTACGGGAATGAATCACATGTTGTTTTCCATTGGGGATCGCGTTGGGGACGAGTCGTTTCAGCCGGCCAATTTCCTCTTCGACATCTGCTAGTCGGTTTTCGACTTGCTCGAGGTATCTAGATTGCAGATTGGTCATTCCATTCTTCACACGGGGTTCCTTAGTGAGACATACTGTTTGGGCACCAGAGCGTTGCTTGGCCCAGAATTCACAGCATAGACACAGTCGATGGCTTGTTCAACACATGCCGAACACGACGGTCTCGCACCGTCGCACTTTCAAACACAGATTCCATATTAGCTGCTAGGGACCCCTAGAAAGACCATCATAGGCCAGCGCCGAGAATCATCTCCGTTGATCGATTAGGGCAGGTGACTTACCCGTGACTTGCGGGCCCGACAAGCACTGCAGGCGATCGGAATCCGCTTCCGCTTCCGGACGTTTGCGACTGGAGGGGTGAGGTTCTCCATCGGCTGTATCTGCTGCCTTTCTGCCTGCAGAATCTTCTTCGCTGCAGAGCTACGGACACGATAGAGGCGGGGATTTAGAGAGAAAGATGTCGATATCCCCGGAAGGGGAAGACGTTGTGGGCGGGGAGTTAGGGATCGCCAAAGCTTGTGTCCACCTAAGCCACAGTTTGTGAGGTGGCTCGAGACGTTTAGCGGAGCTTTGGGCGTCAGTGCTGAGAGCTGCCAGCCATTTTCGCCGGAGATAGACTATTGTCCCCGGATACCCTGGAGTTTCACTTGTTACCAGCCTCGGAAAGCTTGGGACAAATCGCATCTGGCGACTGCAGCAACAGCAAGGAGAAAGGCATTCTTGATCGACGTTCATATTATGGCACGTTTTGACTCTGTGATAATCTTCGTCGAAGGTTAAAGATTCAGTCCGCAATCGCCTCATGTGCCAACAGACCACCCACGCGCAATCAGATCGCAATTATGTCTTCTACAACAGCAACCGAGACTTACACGCAACCCAAGCCAGCCGAGGATGAGACGGCCAAGATGCTGCAGGCAGCTGAAGCCAGCCACACAAAGCCGCTGTGGCTTCAGATGTCGAGATTGAATCCACCTCTGCCAAACCCAAGATGCACACCTTTCATTTGGAAATACTCAGAAATTCGCCCAACTCTTTTGCAAGCCGGGAAACTTGTGAATGAGCACCAAGCCGAGCGCAGGGTTTTGATGCTTGTGAACCCATCTCGAGGTAAGAGAGCCGAGATTCGCTCTGTTCGCTCTGTCGGGCGCAGCTGACTCGCACACGAGATGCACCCTTCACGACTGATACAATCTACGCTGGGCTGCAGCTAGTCATGCCCAATGAGACAGCAAAAGCCCATCGCCATACCGCCTTCGCAATGCGATTCATCATTGAGGGCCAGGGCGGCTTTACTGCTGTTCATGGTAAGCGTATCCAGATGAATCGTGGGGATGTCATTTTGACCCCCACGTGGAACTGGCACGACCATGGAAAGGATGGATCGGGACCAATGATTTGGCTCGATGGTCTTGATTTGCCCAACTTCACCCATTTCCCGGTTCACTTTGTTGAGCATTTCTCGGCCCCCCGTTATCCCGCCGATAATGTCGACACCTCCCAATCGCCCATTGTCTTCCCATGGAGCCGAATGAAAGCTGCGCTCGACTCTGAGGGCGGCGACTTTGCTACAAGTAGATACTTGCATGCCGACGGGTCTGAAGGTGCGTTAAGCTTTCCTCTAGCCTCAATTTTTTGAACCCGACTTGTTTACTTACGCCGTGTCAGTGAGCAAGATCCTAGGAGGGAAAGCCGCCCGCATTGCACCCGGTGCGAAATCACCGCTGGTTCAAGAGACTGCGTCTTCAGTCTATCACGTTGTTGAGGGTTCTGGACACAGCCGCATCGGCGATCAAGTTTTCCAGTGGAAAAAGGGGGACACTTTTTGTATTCCTTCATGGTATCCCTACCAGCATTTCGCCGACCAGGGACTGCAAGAGCCGGTTTACTTGTACCGGTTTGATGATTCGCCCATGCTCAAGAGCTTAGGTTTCTATCGTTCCTCCGACATGGATGTAGAGAGCTTGGTATCTGCTTGAGCGACCGACCATAATGGCTGTCTGTGTTAGAGAGTGAACCGGCAGAAGAATTCTGTGTAAATAGAGCTGCTTTAAATGAAAAACATTTGACCAATTACAACAAAACTGCCAGTAGAGGTGAGAGAGTGGCATGGTTTCTGAACAACTTCGTCCCATACCCATGATTCACAAGGCATTAAATATCGAAGGGTTTGAATGTTGAATCATCCCCCTCCACCCTTTTCTGTACATTTTCAACTTTTTTTTGATTCATTTTTCTTTTTCATTATGAAAAGCAAACTATCAAAACTCCATGCAAACCGTATCTATTCTCAATGTCTACAACACCGTTGTCAACACACTCAAGCCGCTCCCTACACTCTCGACCTCAATGTTCCAAGGGAACAGATCAAGCGAGACTAGCAGTCCTACGAATGATGACTTCGCTGAAAAAGTAGACGGGGATGACCAGCAGATAAAGCGCCCACAGAACACCTGCCATAATGCCAAATTGCTTCACAGGGCCCATTCGCTCCATCCAAGTGATGGCGGCATAAGACACACCGAAACCGATACAGTTCTTGATCAAGTTCACCAGAACTCCAATGTGACTGGCCCGAGAAGGCATGGTGTCAACGGCATACGTCAGCAAAACATTGGCCGAGCATGTCAACCCCGTAGCCAACATTCCCCAGCCGACACTCACTGAAATCCAATTATCTGGAGAGTTCAAGCCGTAACCGATCACAATGCACCCAGCAGGGCTGATGATTCCACCAATGACAACAGCCGGCAGTCTAGAGGCCGGGTTCGGCATGTGCTTGTTTTTCCTGGCTGCCTTCCCATACAAGAAGTCCGCTAGAGCACCGCCGATTGGAAGTCCTATCAGGAGACCAAGTAGAGTTCCAACGCTAAGGAGGCCTACGGGACGAGCTGTCCAGAGCATGGGTGGCTGTGCGTAGACAACGGCCACGAGGATGGAAACGAGAACAGTCCAGCCGATCGTGAACCCGAAGACCAGGGTGGTGATCAGAACCTGCGGGGCCACAAGAAGCTGCACTGGCTGAACAAAACTAGTCATTGCGAGTTTCCAGTTCATGTCGACATAGGCGCCAGTAAAGGATCTGAGCCACCATTGTCTTTTGGTCGACAGGAGCTCATTCCCGGTTCTCTGACGAGCTTCTTCGACTTCCGTATACTTCAAGTTGGAACCTAAGCGCTTGAGATTGTCCTCATTGTCGGTTGAGACCTCGATGGGTGTTTGATCGTCGATCCGTGTTTCCGGAAGCATTAGGAGCGATCCTAGGAGTGTGACGAAAATGAGGGCCGCGAGAATGCGGAAGTACCATCTCCAGTCATTCACTCCCTCGGCCACAACTCCAGCGACAATTGGTCCCAAGCTCGAACCAGCGGCCAGGAGTCCAACGTAGACCACCATGGCACTGGCTAATTGGCTTTCTGGGAAGGTTTCCGCAACGATGCTTGGGCCTAGAGCCTCGACGAGGCCACCAGCTAGACCGCCTAAAGTCCTTGAAGCTCTGAGAGAGTTGAATGTCGGTGCCTCAGCACCCCATAGGCAGAAGGCGAGGAAGAATAGTAAGGATATCAGGATCGTGTAGCGTTTGCCGATCAATGAGGCGGCCGGGAGTGCGAGTATATTCTAATGACGGGCTCCGTTAGTCTCTGTGTCTTCTCTGTATGATTATGCTCTATGGAACTTACCGACAAACCAAGGGTCAGGAGTACGTAGGTTGACAGTTGCGATGCTTCTTCAGAGGTACAATGAAGCTCTTTGATAATCAGGGAGAACAAGGGAGACACCCCAGCCGCAAATGCATTCCCCAGAAGGTTGTAAAAGCTGACGTTGAGGAGAATCCAGATTCTCCATGACAATGGCCAATGCTGCGTACGATTCTAAATTAGTTTTCATAGTTCAAGCAGAGGTCCGGCGCGATGAGTTACAATGAAGGAAACCTACCATCACCGAGGAGCTAGTTATGGGAATATCAGACGACATTTTGCCCAGTCTTTGAAGATTGAGAGCGATTTTGCGATTCAAGACAGCGAGCAAGCCGACCTCTAATTTTGCATAGTCCCTCAAAGACTAGGTTATCAACAGCTGCGCGACGCCTTGTTTAACGACATCGTGAACCATTGTATTTACAATCACCTATCACTCTACCAACAATACAGTTTCCAATAGGACACGTACTATTGGCCTCGAGGTAGCTATCGGGGAGATAAAGTCTGAAGTAGTGCTCGGGGAGAAGCTCCAAACCCCGGATGTCACCCCGCACACGCGCCGGCCCGTGCCCACTCTGCAGCGCGCGGCAGATCGTAATCGGGCTCGGAGTATGGGGAACTGCGGAGACGCGGGGTTGTAATGCATTCGACCGGGCATTGCGTTGGCTGTGTGATTTATTGACGGCCCTAGGTGCGCAAGAATGCTGCATCGTGGATCCAACGTTATCAATATCCTGCAGGTTTCAAGGAGCAAATCTTGGCTACGCTGCAGTAATTTAGGAGATCTAAACCATGGTTGTCAGTCAGAAACCCAGTCCAGGTTACAATCAGTACTTCCTGCCCGAAGAGGATCTGAAGTACTTACCTCCATACCTTCGTGATGTCCCCGAAACAACTACGGAGACCCAGTGCACTACTGCGGGCACATGGCCGTCATGGCTGAAGGGCACATTTATTCGGTTAGTCTATGCGAAGGTTGAAGAAGATGATGGACAAAGAATTTTGCTGACGGTGAATGCAGAATCGGGCCAGGACGTTTTACTGTCCCGTTATCTGAAGATGGTTCAAAGCCTAGAGCTATCATCCAGCATTTCTTTGACGGCCTCGGCATGCTTCATAAGTTTCAGATGTTGGATGGGAATGTTCATTATACGAGCCGATACACGTCTGAGGGGGTTGTAAGGAGGGCTAAACGAGATGGCTATCTTTCCACCAACGTCTTCGGTCTCAATCCAAACACGCCTCTTAAGTACACGCAAGATCCGTGTTCGGCACTGCTGGGAGCTCAAGTCAGTAGAGCAGTATTCTCTCAAGCCACTGACGAGCTAATACATTTTGCAGCAATCTCTCTATCTTCCAAATGGGTATATGGAGCCTGATGAGATAAATGTAAACGTTGTTCCTCGCCGTGGGATGCACCTTCCACCGGACGACAATCCACACTCCAAAGGGCCCGAGGCAAAGGACCCAGCGACCGAAGAGGTAAGGTCACGGTTACTCATAACTAAACATGGCTAACAGAGTGCACCAATCCAGGTCCTGGTTCAGACGGATTTCAACCTCCTTCAAGTCTGCGATGCGCGAACCCTCGAGCCAAAGCGGATGCTCACATATGCCCAAATCGACCCAGAACTGTCTGGCTACGGCATTTGCTCTCATCCACCCAAAGATCGCACCCGGGGTCTAACTTTCAATTATTTGATTGACCCTGAGAAGGGTATCATGTCAGTCTTTGCATTGAATATTGCATCAAAACCTGCGTCCCTTTTCTGGAAAACGCCACTCCCATGCAAGCCGTGTTACATTCATTCTCTGGCGATGACAGACAAGTATGTGGTTTTCATCAGGAATGTAAGTGATGTATCAACTATGACTTTCTGCGAAAGGTGTTTGCTTAGCTCCAAATTTTAGCCGGTTCAAATGGATGTCAGCGATACGACGAAGCCAATGTCAGACATGCTCCAATTCGAGCCCAACACTCCGACCCAATTTTTTGTTTTGAATAAGAATGACGGCAGGCAGTAAGTGCCCTCTGTAGAAGCTCAACCGTCATTGAATTTTGACTGACACTGTGTTCCAAAGCGTCGCGACTTATGCGCAAAAGGATGGCTTCATGTTTTTCCATTCGGTTAATGGATACGACTATGTTGATCGTCAAACCGGCGCCGTCAATATTCACATCGACCTTTGCAGTTACGAAGAAACTTATCCATCGTACAGCGAGTACAGTTTGAGCAACATTGTGGATCCAGCACGGCCTTTTCAAGACGGCACTCTCGTCCGGTACGAGATGGCCGGCGTGGACAACGCCGATCCGTCTCGCATCGGCCGTGTAACAGTCGCTGCGTCAATACCAGGAATGGCATGCGAGCTTCCGCGGATTGCCAAGGTTGCCTCAATGGACCCCAATTATCGCTACGTCTATTGCACTGCTGGCAATGGCGGCCCCTCTCCGGGGACAGCTGTGCCAATTGGCCGACTCGGTAACGGGCTAAAGGTTGTTCAAGCAGCGTTTTTCGGGAGCTTAGCAAAGTCCGACTGGAAAACTGGAACGTTCAAGCGATGGCAGCCAGACAACGGAGAGAGTTGCCCTTGTGAGCCAGTCTTCGTGCAAAGACCTGGCGCAACGGATGAGGATGACGGCATAGTTCTTACTATTGTCATCGACCGGGAAGGAACTCACAGCATTCTCATTGGTCTTGATGGACAGACCTTCGAGGAGGTTGCAAGGGCAGACATGCCTCAAGTGTATGCTCTGGGTCCTCATGGGTCATTCGTTGAAGGCAATTTTGGTGTTTAGATGAAAGCTACCATGCTCTGCGATCCACTTAGTCTTTGAAAACCATCGGGAAGTGACCCGGAGCTGTCTTTTGGGAAGAATCCATGTCATTTGATTGGCCACATCGGCAGAATTACCGTTTACGTGAGGTCGCACCAAGCAACTCAACTGAGGCAAACTTCCCGGGCACGTGCAACAGCGGACGGAATTTCTCCTTTGCCGCAATTTCGGATTTCAATTACGTACTTTCCCCCTAATATCGACTGGTGCGGGGGTCAGGGCATCGACAAAAGGGCGCGCTTGGCCGCCTTGGATGACCGGAAGCGGGGCCCGACCGTGTACGTTAAGCCGTCCCGAGAGAGTGGGTCCCGGAGGTCTCAAGTCGAGTCCGGCGCTCCACCCACTTCCGTGTACGTTGAGTATAGCCGAGTTGAAATGACAAAGTTCCAATGCCGCCCGCGCACCGAAAGATTTGAAAACTTTCGTTAGCCCAATCATTCGAGTCATTACCTGATTGCAACGACAAATGCTGGCATGAATTTGAGCGGTTTCGTGGTATAAAACATGTGTTGTCGCCCCTCTTCGCCAAAACCTGCAGTTCTTCCGTTTTCATCACGACTTTCAACCAACTCTTTTCAACTTCAGTGTTTGAGAATGATATCAACAACAACAAATACTGACAGTTCCACTTGTATCTCCAAGTGCATACGTCCTGGTTCAATCCCTTCCGTTTCTATCCTGGGCCACGATTCACGTCGCATTATGCACATGCCCAAGATGGCGCTGAGCATCAGCATCGACTACCACTACACGTCCAAGATTTACACGTGCAACTCCAAGGTCTCTGGAACACTATCAGTTTGCACCCAAAGGGATACACCTTTCAATTGCGTCCAAATCGCCCTTCTTGGCACTTCCCACACTCGGATCGATATGCTACCTGCTCCCAAGATCATCGACAATGATTTTCTGAGGCTGGACATGCCTATTCACGAGGATTCATATCCATCAGGCCGAAACTTTCGTGCCGGGCAGACCTATCATATTCCGTTTGAATTCACAATCCCTCGCGCCCTATCCAATGACACTTGTCACGCCCGCACCCCCTCGGAGTGTGGACACATTCAAGATCTCCACATGCGGCTGCCACCAACCATGGGTGACTGGGGAAAAGACGACATGTCACCTGTGATGGCTAGAGTCGAATACACTATCGTGGCTCGTGTATTGCAGAAGCGTGCTTCCGAGGCAGGCCTCGCAACCGAGATCAGCCAGCCCATCAAAGTGTTCCCCTCATTGCCGGAAGATCCACCTTTAAGCATCACTGAGCAAGATACCCGATACTGCCTGAGCAAGACTAAGTACACTCGGAAGAGCCTGCTGTCGACACAAAGGGACCAGGTCACAGCGAGTATCGTTCAGCCGGCATCAGCAGTCTTAGACATCGCTGGACAGCAAGTTTCTCCGACTTCGGCGACAATGCACCTTGCTTTCAAATCGAACTCGACATGTGCAACACCTCCAGACATCAGTCTTCGTCAAATCAGGCTCGAAGCGATCAGCTGGTTTAGCGGAGCCCCCATCAAGACCCTCCCAGAACTTGGCGAGGCAAGAGACTCCACCGGCATCAAGCAGGAGTTGAAGTACATCACTTCAACCAAACTGCCAACGACTGGTGTAGAAGTCAAATGGCAGCATGTTGATACTGGCGGACAGTCCTCTTTGTGGGAAGGAAGTCTAGAGATCCCGGTCGCACTCCCAACCACCCACAAAATGTTCCTCCCGACTTTTTACAATTGCTTCGTGGCCCGAACATACGTTTTGCACTTGTGTGTCAATGCAGCTGCGTCGGGTACGAAGATCAATCTATCCGTGCCACTTCAGATCTCCGTGCAGGAGCAGGATGGAAAGGACTTCGAGGTGTCTGGCGATGATCTGCCAACCTTTGAAGCAGCTATCGCTTGGCGATCAGTACGTTGATGGATGGTAGTTGCCACAGAGATAACGAGACAATTGCAAGCGGAATGAAGAAACCATGATAGAAGGGACCGAACTGGCCTCGAGGATACGGACACAAGAGAGAGGTTGCCGGTGATCTATGATTAATCTTACGACGAAAGAATTAACGACACTAGTTGATATCATGCAATTGAGTTTTTTCGGTCATTTCTATCCATGCGTAAACAAGATGCAGTATCATGCGGTGTGTATTAGGTGACGTTGTGAAGTACTAGGTACGTATGGGGTATTTGCTCGAAGAGGCGAGGGGTATTTGGAAGTGACGCGTGCAAAGCATGATGGTACGTTAGAGCGTGAAGGTAGGTTGCATATGGAGGGCCAATGCAGAAAAAGATCTCGGTCTCCCTAAGGGTACTGTTCGAGTCTCTCCTTGGACATTGCGCCCTCTTCGTTGGCCCCATGATGCACCTGGAATGTCGTGCTGACAGAGATAACGCCTGGATTATCCGATGTCGGTGTGACAGAGGCTCCTCGTCCAGAAGCACTCAGCCGACCGGCCTCCTTGAACAGTTCCTCGTCCGAGTCATTGTCTCTGATCTGTGTTCCGCCAACTACGGTGGTTGTGAGGCGGCTGTGATGGGTTCGTCTGGTGCCGATTGCGGCCGATGAGAGTTCGTAGTTCCCGTAGCGGTAGTTTGATGTGGTCCCGCGAGTCGAGGTGTGCCCGAGAAAGAGTGTTCGCAGTGCTTTACAGAAATATGTTAGTATGGACGCTGATGACCAGATGATGGGTTAAGGGTCGGCGTACCTGGAAGGGATGCGGCGATGATTGCAACAGCTGTCTCGATCATAGACACAGTGCAAGTCAACATTGTCTCCATTTTCTTGGAGTAGAATGCTCGGATAACTGTGATTGTTAGATTGAAATCAAATTGCCAGGGCATGACATCGAGGCAATTCAACTTACTGCTGGCAACGATGACGAAGAAACCAAGTGCGAAGATGGCGGCGACGCCAAGCTTCTGCTTCAACTTCATCTGCAACTTGAGAACCATTGAAATTGGCAAGCTGATTGCTGGGTTTTATCAGAAGGGGAAAAGTAGCAACACGATGTTCTTGACTTACTGGCAACATCGGAACCGATGTTTACTGCGTAGGGGTTAGCACAGTCCAAGCGTCGTCAGGACGATCAGTTGGAGGGGTTCTCACGCAGAATCGTCAACCAGTAGTTGATCTCAGCGTCCTTCGGATCGCATTGGTCTGCAGGATGTCAGTATCTCAAGTTCGTCGGTCTGGTTGTGCCTATTGTTAACTCACAATTAGGATCCATTGACCATCTCTTGTCGTGCGGGTAACACTGGAAAATGATATGGAAGAAGATGGTTGCCCAAGACGCCAAGAGCAGGCCAATCGCAACATTGTATACAATCTGAAGTCTCGATGCTGGTGCTGCAATTCTTTTGTAGAAGATTACAAGTGCAACTTTGATGGCCCAAAGAGAGGTTACGTAGAGGATTGATCCAGGAACGATCATCTTTGTGTCACGTCTCGTCAGTTCAACTTCTAAGGCTTAGGTCGCGGCAGCCGGTCGCGGGAGTCTTACCTGCATAATCTGAATAAACTCCTCTCTTGTGGCCTTTGGAATCTCAGCCATACCAAGATTCCACATGTGCTGCTGAATTATCAAGTCCCCGATGAGACAACATGTCGACAATATCAGGAGGGCATCGTCGATGCCTATAGCCTTAAACCTCCGAATTCGGACCCACAGCCTGAGGACCAGGAAAAGGGTTGCCGCTACAGTACAGATGTACCAGGAGATCTGAGTAACCAAACTGTCAGTACCAGAGAGCGGGAAAAGTCTCGCAGCTTGAGCTTCAAAAAATGATGCCCAACATGTGAATTGCACCTACCACTTGGCCAAGACCTTCGGCCATGACGAGCAAGATGACCGGTCCTCACGTCAACTTGTGCAAACAAGACAGAAGAGGAAGGGCGGTGGATGCCCCTCAGGTCTTATTGCTCGAACCACGACCAAGTAGCTGGGCCACGGGGCTGTTCAGAGGCCCCCCTTATGCATCACGCTTGTTTTCAATTCAGCTTAGCCATGGTGCGACGATCCATGGCTTGTGCATTTCTGCACCTGTCAATCACCTCATGTAGGGATGTGGCGCACCACACAGCGCTAGGCAAGGTGTTGCCCTCGTGTGCGAAACGATATCTGTCAAGTCTGCACATCTCCTCCGGGCTTGGCGCGAGAAGCGGGAATTCCGACGTAGCCTGTGGGATGAGCAACTGTTGCGAGCCTCGTGGCCCATCTGGCAAATACTGACGGGCAATCAGGTCCCAGAAATAGCCAGCGCATGAACCATTGGTTCCAGTCAATCAGATCCAATGAGGCCGAGAGACGTGGAGTGACCATATCAGGATTCTCGTGATGTTCAAGAATTAGTGCCAACAGTAGCGTAGGCTGAAGTTCGCCGGTCCCGCTTGTTCCGCCGCCGAGGCAGGGGATCCAACAGGGAGTCAACATGGGGCCATGGACTCTGCATGCTTCGCGGCATTATTGATTTCTCGAGTCCCTCTGCCGGTGGAGACAGCATGGAGCCGCTAGGGCTGGCTGGTTGAGAGTGTCAGGGAAGCGGCGCTCTGCAACGTGGTCTACCAACGTGTTTTGCACATGGGAATCAGGATCTTGGAATTCTTCAACATCGAACCGCGCGCGGGATTAACGCCGACAGAGCCGGCTGTGGAGCTTCGCCGGTGAGATGCGTGGGCTTTCTTCGGATGAAGCTCAAGAAAACGACCCTGATCCCAGCCTGCCCAGCCCAACATTAAATGAGATTTCCGGAGAAGGCGACCTTTTCGTTCTCGATAGCGCAAATGTCAGCACAAAGAGCCCCCTATGGGCGGAGTTGACATGGGGTTGAACCCCTGGCGTTCTGTGGTTCCCTCTCCACTTCAGCAAACCATCGCCATCTGTCTGCCCACATCTGTCTTCGTAGGGGTCTCATCAAAAGGGAAAAGAGCATCGCTCGTTATTCATATGAACTGCATGGACGCCCTCAACAGCTTGGACTACCTGGTTGTCCTCCCACCTTCCGCACGCACCTCACCGATCGTCGTCAACAAAGTGAGTGCATCATGGGACTCGTCAATGTCTTGACAACCGGCGCAAGCTTGGTCCTGGCGGTGGCCTCTGTCTTCCCTCACGCGGCGGTGGCTGCATGTGCCAACATCACCAGGCCCACAAGCGTCGTTCTTCCTCAGGGAAGGATTAAGGGCTTTCGTGATGATTCTCGCAATGCGGTGTTTTTGGGCATCCCCTTTGCGGCGACGACAGGTGGGGAGAATAGGTATGTCGATCATTGCGATTTTCGACTTTCAGCTGGACTAACGAAACTTTCAAAGATGGAGAGCGCCTCAGAATGTTCTGCGGTCAAACGCGACCTTCGATGCGACGTCATACGGCCCAACATGCCCTCAGGCCATCTCTGGTACTACATTCAGCCAGCAGGGTGAGGATTGTCTCAACTTGAACATCTGGTCTCCTCCGAACGGAAATGACCTGCCCGTAAGTCGGATCGAGAACCCACAAGTTTAGTAATTGGTTCCAAGACTGAACAATAATGCGCGCAGGTATTTGTCTACATGTACGGCGGTGCCATGGTGACCGGCTCCAACAGCAATCCTCAGATCCAGGGAACCAACTTCGCTCGCAATGGAGTTGTTTACGTCAACTTCAACACTCGCGAGAGCATCTTCGCCTCTCCACACTCTGCGGAGTTGAAGGATGCCAACCCTGAAGAGTCCCAAAACTTTAGCATCCTGGACGTCGAGAAAGCCCTTGATTGGATCCACGAGAATATCCGGGGTAAGCAAGCATCTAAGATCTCACATGAGTGGCCAATGCCGATCAAAGTGACACGAGTCTAACGCCAGACCAGCATTCGGAGGAAACCCCGACCACATCGTCTTCGGTGGCCATTCCTCTGGCTCAGTCCAGGTCGATCACTACCTATGGAACCACCCGGACTCTTGGCTCAAGGGAGCTGTGCAGATGAGCGCCAACGCCATGTCCGGTCCTGCCTACGCACCCGTCAACGAGGCCCTTGACGCCGTTGCTACCGAGGTTGGATGCCCTGCTGGTGGCGACGGCCAGATCGATTGTCTTCGCGATGTCGACGTCTACGCTTTCCAGACCACCAACTTCAACTCGACCTTCAACACTTGGTTCACTCCTATCATTGACAACATCACCCGCCATTCCGACTATGCTGCTCGTTTTGCCGCTGGCAAGTATGCTACTCACGTGCCGCTCCTGACTGGTACCTCCAATGGCGAGGGTACAATCTTCAGTCTCGTTTATGGCGCCGAAAACACGAACTTCAGCTCTTGGATCAACACATTTGATGCCGACAGTGCTCACATCGAGGATGCTGTTCTGATCGAGGCATACAACGCTTCAGCCTATGGGACCGAGTCTCTCCGTAGCGGTGCCCAGTACGGCGACGCTCGCTTCAACTGCGCCGTAGACTACCTCCAGGACCTCCGCAGTGCCATACAGGACACTTGGGTCTACCGCTTCTTCGGCGCCTACGACAATGTCGTCGGAGTTCCTGGCACTGCTCCCACCCATGGCACCGAGGTCCCCTTCTTCCATGGCGGCAATGAGTGTTTTGAGGCTCTGTCTAACGTCACCGAGGCCCAGCAGGCATTGGCTGACTCCATCCATGGGTGGTTTGTGCAATGGATCAAGAACCCGGCTGCCGGTCCTGGGTGGGACAAGGTTGCACCCGAGTCGGGAGCCCTCGTCAAGCTTGGCGTCCCCGATGATGAGCTGTCTCGCATTGATGGTTCTACCGACGAGTTCAACCAGCGCTGCCAAAATGTGAGTTTTCTCCGAAAACAGATGTTTTCTGATCGTTTCCTAATAATATGTCAGGTTTACAAGCCCGCCTTCCCGAAGTACCCTGTCATCCAATCAGTGAGCGATATTGTCAACAAGCTGTTGTGATACGTCTCATAAAGTATCTGCTTGACTCTTGTAATCAGTATCTTCGCGACAAAATGTTGTCATACCTATGTGTTGGCATCGTCATTTCCGTAGACGTCAACTTGAACTCTCACCACACGTGTCCAGTGTGACCATTTCCTCTGTTTGGCACGGGAGTCAAGCCTCATGACCGTTCTTCCAGTCACCTCGCCACGTTTTTGCCACCGCAACTGGGCCTCAGAAGAAACAACAGCCGTAGCATGATACCTGAGGCCTATGCAACGACATCCGGCAGAGTCATTAGAGTTGGAATGAAGTCAAGTTATCAAAATTATCGCCGTAAAATTGGCGTACGTGTCCCATAAGGCTGCAGAGGCCAGATATTGTCTTAATTAAGCCCGTCAGCTCGCCCGGATCCCAGTGGCGCATTCACTGCCATGTTTGAGTCAGTCGTGCGAATCAGGCGCGTGAGTTCGAGACAACGCCGGAAGGATCTACATGGGTGACAGGAGATTAGCACAAATTTGGAAGGGCATAGAATGCAGTTATATCTTAAGTTCCCAGCGAAAAGGTAAGGAGAAGTAAGACGAAAGCAGCCGGAACCTGCTAGCCTGATGTACATGATCTTATAAATCATGAGTCACTGACCTGTGGTACCCGACTCTGGTCTTTCCTCATCTTCCTTCCTCAAACACTCGGCATTATGCGACGAAAGATTGAAGTTTTCACACTCACAGCTATTCTTCTTAGCACTTTAGTGTTAAGTGAAGACAACGAACCATGTTATTTTCCGAGCACAAGACGCGCTACTGACGGTATACCGTGTCCTGTCGTGGGAGACAATGCTGCCAAAGCATGCTGCAAGTATGGTCACTATTGCTTGAGCAATGGCTTGTGCCTCGAGCCTAATTATTGGACCTTGTATCGACACTCCTGTACGGATGCCAAGTTTCGAACGTCCGGTTGCCCGAGGTTTTGCTTCAATACAAGTAGCAATGGACAAGAAGCTTCAAGTAAGCAATCATGGTCATGGTGGCCAAGTTGTCAATAATTCGCGCTTGCTCATTATTCCAACAGCTAACAAAGTTTGAACAGCTCTTGACAACCTTAGCGGTGTCAACAACTGTGGATATAGCCTGGATCAATGGAGGTGTAATATCCAAATCCCGTGTAAAACGAGCAATTTCTCAATTTCAAATATGGGAACCATCATGCCCAACAGCGCTCAGAAGTCGCAACTTGGCCTCCAAAGTGGCATTCCTGAGAGCGGCGTACCTGAGAGCGGCATATCTGTCGGGACAGCGGTTGGTATTGGGGCCAGGGTAGGAATTCCTCTTGCAATCGTCGCTGGAGTCCTGGGGATATTGCTTCTACGTCAGAAAAAAAGGACGAAAGCTGTCAACCTTATTTCAGCACATTCCACATCAGAAGTCACTTCTCCCAAACCAAACCAGTCGGCTCCGACTTCGCCAGCCCCGTGGCGGGAAAGTCATCTCTCTGGAACGGGTGAACAACAAACAGCGGAGTTGCCGCTGGAGTTCACCGTGAGACATGAGCTTCCTCAATAAGTGAGGCTCGAAGAAGGCTACAGGAGATTTACATCACAGCATTCTGGCTTGAAAGGGAATTACTGACTGACCAATGGACTTTCCATGAAGTCGAGTGCATTCACAATGTATCAAGCTTCTTGCACGCGGAAACTCTAAAGCTACCAGATCCCGCATAATGAGTTTGGACGGATGTACGCGATAGTGCATCGCAATATACCAGCCAATTGACTTGAAAAAAACAACATTCTTGTCGCTAATCTTGAGTCGCAACTGGCTTCTTAGGTATGCTCATCGAATCAAACTATGGACATGCGAAAATGTTGAGTTGCGCAATGGGTCGGACATAGTAATTGACCGACGTCCAGCAAACACCACGGATGCTGGCCTTTTGTAGACGAAATAGTAGGAGTCAGCGACGGATGCGCCTGAGAAGCGAGCATGGGAATAGAGCTAGAGCAGCAAATGTTGTTGCAAGCTTCCAAACCATTTCACAGGCGGGAAGACGAAGGGCGAGGCTTGAAAGACGGTTTCGCTTCCCAACCCATCATATCGGTCAAGATTGATGCGAGGTTCTTTGCGCTGCGTCGCCGAAATCCATGCATCGTATCGACCTGTCAAACCACATTCGGCTGCAACGGCGGGCTTGGCGGGGGGCGAATCAATTTCAATGTAAGCAACCAAGGCGCAGGAAACTCGATTTTAAGAGATGAGTGGTTGCTGCCACTGGAAGTGACGAGCCAGTGAGACAAATCTGCAGGGCCAAGACTCAAACCTTGTACAAGAGCTGAAGATAGTTTGACGACTTCCTATTTCCTAATCGGGCAACACATAAGTCGATGAAATACGAAGAGTGAGACACAGTCGGCAAGTCAGCCTAACCGCAGTGGCCGGGTTTTGCGACATGGCATTTAAAAAACCGATTTCCGATACTTCGCTACGTCAACATCACACAGCGGCCCATCCCTCTTCATTGTAAATATGCACCGGTCCGCCCTCAGACTTGTCGTGCTTCTGACGTTGGTAGCATCAGCCACTGGCGAAACTTGCTACTTCCCAGATGGGTCGGTTGACCAGGGCGGCATTGAATGCCCCAGAATCGGAGACAATGCCGTGGTCGCGTGCTGTCGCAAGTCCAACCACTACTGCCTCGATAACGGACTCTGTCTGGAGCCGAATGCGTGGACGATGTACCGGAACTCCTGCACAGACAAGAACTTTCGAGCGGCCGGATGTCCCAAGATTTGCCGCGATGCTGGTGAGCTCACTCTTTTCGCAGCCACGACTTCAGGACTAACATATGCAGCACTGAGCGGACATACCGGTGTCAACTACTGCTTCCAGGATGCCATCTGGACATGTCGCGGGCGGAACGATTGCGACAAGGGTAACTTTACGATGCCGAGTCCTAGAGGGAGAATGTTGATCAACACGGCGTTGGAATCCGATCTCGGAATCGCGGCGGCGACGAGCGCCGGGCCCAGCGGCACATCCATCGCGGTGTGCTCGAAGACTTCGGAGGCCAGCAACGGAATCTCAACTGGAGCGGCAGCAGGCATCGCGGTTGGCGTTGGACTTCCGCTGGCTATTGCGGTTGTGGCGCTGACGGTCTTGCTTCTGCGAGAGAAGAAGAAGTCGAGAGCTGCGGGAGTAGATGGGATGACGACTGCCGGAGGTTCTGAATCGTCGCCCGCGCCGGTACGGGCCAAGCACGAATATCCTGGAGGCTTTGCGCAAGCAAACCAGCCTGGATATGGACAGCAGCCGACAACGGAACTTCCTCCGGACCCGACGGTTCGGCATGAGCTTCCCCAGTAGTGGACGATATGATGGCAGGTCGAGATAGGACCCATGAGTAAAGTACATAGCTTGGTGCCGCCAATCCCGAGTAACTAGGCGAGAGAAACAATGGAGGTGAGGCTTCTATATGTACATAAAATGGAGGGGTAGACAACAGCCTTGAACATTGAACTTTGAAGCATTGATTTTCGAGAGTGTCTATGGTATTTACTTTTCTTCCTCTATTCGTCCTTCACGAGCCCCTCTCGCCCCGCCAGCCATAGCCTCGTCCATGCCCACACCCGCCCTCGTCGTCTTGCATCTACAAGAAGTTGATACCGACGCCAACCTGAAGGCCCTTAGTGCCTTGCTCGCCCTTACGGAGCACCATAGGCAGGCTGAAGTTCAGTTCGAATCGAGCAACAGGATGGGCATAGACCAGACCGACACCGACGGCGGTCGACGGCAAGCCCGTGGTCAGGTCGTTGAGGGCATTGTACATGCTACCCGCGACGCTTCGGGTGCTGAGGCCAGCAGCCTTCTTCTCGCCGTCGCCCTTGGTCTTGTTCTTCAACGCCACGAGCCTGCCACCGTTGGCGAAGATCTGGAAGCGAAGAGCAGAGTCGGCGCCCTTGTAGGGCAGGGGGAAGAGCATGTTCACGCTTCCGGCAGCAAAGAGGTCTCCGCCGACAGCGTTCGAGCCGTCGTGGGGACCGAGGCCACCAAAGTGGAAGCCGCGAACGTCGGTAGGACCGCCGAGCTGGAACCTATCGTTGATGCGGCTGGGCTGGGCCTTGCCTTCGGAGGCGAAGCCGAGAGGAAGAGGGTAGAGCATGCCGAAGCGGAGGCCTCCTCCGATGGAGATACCGGAACGGCCCTTAATGCCGGGCAGAGAGATGGGGACAGCGCCACCAATCTCGCACTCGCCCTTGGAGAAGGCGACGTCTCCGGCGAGAGGACCGACACCTGCGAGCTCGAAGACGGACTTGAGCAAGTAGCCGCTTTGAGGCAGTTGCGCGTTGTCTCTCGCATCGCGCGAGTATGTGTGCTTGATGGAGCTCTTGACGGAGTCCCCGGCGTCGGCGCGGACTGAGGGGCTCGCGTTGTCACTAAGGCCAGTAACCTGACGCCAGACACCAGAGTACTCGAGCGAGTGCACACTCTTGCCAGACAGCCAGGAGAAGCGGAGGTTGCCTCCCTTGACAGCCTCTTGGTGGGCAGCCCATGCCTTGTCTGTGGTAGATGCCAGTGCCTCCAGAGAAATCCTGGTGTCGGGGTTGCTGTTGACAGGGGCACTCAGGTTCGCGCTGTAAGCGGACCGAGTCTTGTTTCCAGCACTCGCATTGACGGTGAGCTGCTCGGCGCCGCCAAAGATGTTGCGCCAGAGCACGGAGGTGTAGACGGAGCCTTCGCTGTTTCCTACATCGGTGCCGGCATTGATCTTGTATCGGGAGAGCTCCTTGACAACAATGTCGACGTCGACGTCGGTAGGGGTGGAGGAGGGGTCGGCGGGGTCGGATCCGTTGATGTGAACCTTGGGATCGGGGTGGAAGATGCCCAGTCTCTCGAGCTTGCCCTTGGCATCACCCAGGCGGGCTGCGACTTCGCCGAGGGTGGAGGAGCTGTTGGCCTCGGCGGTCAGGAGGGGCTCGAAGATGGGGTCGAGGAAGCCGCGTCGGGTGTTGGAAGCGCCGTGGACCTGGAGACGGTTGATGGTCATGGGCTGGGAGTTCTGCTCTGCAAGCTGAGATGCGCATTAGCATGGGTGATTGGCAGCATAACGGGCCGGGTCAGTCCTTGCCAGAGCCTGGAATCTCCTAATCTTGGCCTCCTCCTGCAGGTTCTCGAAGGCGGCAGAGGACTCGGCCTCCTTGCGGAGAGCGTCAGGCCCGGCCTTGAGCTTGTCGGTCGGGTTAGACGCCATCGTAGCGGGCTGTGGTGACGATGTAAGGTGGGCTGGAGGGACAGTCGGCAGGCTTCGGGTTGAAATTCGAGATGCAACGGCGGAGCACGGGCGCCGGGCCCAATTGAAAGGACCTGGAAGGGACACTGGACTGGACCCGACCTGCACCAACTGTGAACGCGGGCCGGGAACACGCGACAGGGGGCTGTCTGATTGGCTGGTGTGGCTTGTGATGGGTCCAAGAGGTCGCGCCACACCTTGGAGCTCAAGCCACGTCTCGCAGCCACACAGGTAAACGCTTGGACCCTGTACCCGCAGGCTGTTGGTGGAAATTCTGTGGCTGAGGCACTCGCGTGCACACTGCGCGGTGACATAATGAGTGGAGCGTTGCCAGCTGGAGGCCGGAGTCACCGCGCCGCTCCTTCGCTGCTTACACAGGTAGACCGTATCTGTATCCGTACACTGCAGCCAAGGTAGGTACGTACCTACCCTATGCGCCTGTGCCTGTCACAGCCTCGCCGCATTCCCCAACTTGTCCACTGTCCGCTGTCCGCTGCTGAGTGTTTCCGATCCTCCGTCCTTCAACCACCCGCTTCCATTTCCATCCAGCTCCAGCCCAACCGCAAAGCCCAGCAGACCTCTCCCACAGGCTCAGCTGCGCGGCTACTCAACTTCTCCTCTATTCTTCAGTCTGTGCATTTTATTTTCCCACATTCTTTTTCACCCGCTGGTCTTCCTTCACAGAGACCGCCCGCCAGGCCTTTGAGGCGTACGTCCCTGATTACGTCGTGGTCCGTCATCGTCATCTCAATACTCCTCTCGCTCGCCCCCAAACCGGATCACTAGGATTTCGCTCCGCACATCTTCAGCCATGGCAGCCAGCAGAGCCGCACAGAAGCGTGTATGTCTTCTCTCCCCCTCCCTCACCACGTTGCATCAGCACTGACAGCCGCCCTGCAGTTGACGCGCGAGTACAAGACAATCTCCGAGAACCCTCCGCCATACATCGAGGCCCATCCCTCCGACTCAAATATCCTTGAGTATGCTCTCTCATGCTAGCCTCACAGACTCCTGCTAACCGGTTACTAGGTGGCACTACATCATCACCGGCCCCGAAAACACCCCGTATCATGGCGGCCAGTACTGGGGAACTCTCGTGTTCCCTCCAAACTACCCCTTCGCCCCCCCAGCGATCCGAATGCACACCCCATCCGGCCGATTCCAACCATCCACACGACTTTGCCTCTCCATCTCCGACTTCCATCCCAAATCCTTCAACCCCGCGTGGGAAGTCTCCACCATTCTTATCGGCCTGCTTTCTTTCATGACGAGCGAGGAGATGACTACGGGTTCCGTTTCGAGCACTGAGGCTGAACGCAAGATGCTGGCGTTGCGTACAAAATGGTGGAACTCTACCGGTGGTGGTTCCCATACCAAGTCCAACACACAAAAAGGCAACGTCAAGGCCGGCGATGGCGGCGCCAAATTCCGCGGCGAATGGCCCGAAGTCGACAAGGCGAACTGGGACTGGATGAAGGAGAATAAGATCGACTTCACGACAGGGAACAAGATCGGCGGCCCAGCAGGGGCCTCGTGTGGGCCCCAGCTCGGTATTGGAGCTGGCAGCGGCCACCAGGCCCAGGCTGTCGTCGATGCCGTCGTCCAGCAGCGTGACGCCGGCCGCGGCTGGCTCAACCAAAATAAGCTCCTCGTCGCAGGCGGTCTCATTTTCTTCTACGTCCTCCTGGCCCGAGTGCTGGGTAGCGATAGCTGATTACTAGATGGCTTCGCATCGTTCAACACAGAAAATCAAGCAGGGTCGGCCTGATGTCGCCGATGGATAATAAATACAGTGCGCATGGAATGACACGGCTGAGCATGGCGTTTTTGGGCTTTTTCCGGCGACGGACACCGACGACGACACCAGCGATGGACACCGGTGACGGACCAGAGTGATACACACACAAACACAAAGAGTCTTACTAATAGAGGACTGAGACGGTTGAATGGGTTGGCAAAACGCGTATGACGAATGTATTCTAGATTCGACAGTGGAAATACCTCCTGGGAATATCAATTGCAACACTCACTCTTGAAATGACTTTCGTGGCGATACTAGCCGTGTGGCATGATGGTTCATTGGCTGCATGGGCTTAGCCAAGTGGCGTCTGATCTGCGTCGGCAACATTCTTCTCATCTGACGTGGCTTTGTTCTGCACGACCAGATGATCATTGGAGCGAGAAAAGCCGCTTAATAAGAGAGTAAGTCGATGTTGGTTCGACGTTGCATTTCCATAAAGCTTTGCCGTCGTATCTCGACAGTGCCAATATTCCTTATGTTGCTTATTTATAATTAGAGATAAAGGCGAAACTAGGTCCAGTCATTTACGACACAATGTACGATCAATTCGTGCCCCAGCATGTATCTCTCAAAGCTCCAGACCTCCACGTTCGCCGAAAAGTGCCGGAAAGTGGACGCCGGGCAGAGAACGGATGAGCCGACGGCCAGGTATCATCCGAAGGAAACATCAGACACGACATACTGAGCGCCGGCTGGCGACGATCACGAAGGGTGTCGGCTGTTCAGTGGTCTTGGCAAATGTTGGCAGGGAAACTGACTGCCCGGGAAATGTGAAGAAGACTGGCTTTCTGGTAAGCCGAAACGTGATATTCACCGGCATGAAGTCATGGCAGAGCAGGAGAAACACCAGACGGCGGATGTGGGATGAAAAGCTAGCGGTATATAGAGATGAGTTGAAAGTGATCGCCGGCTGACGAAAACCATTGGCACATCCACTGTCCAACAAGCACATCGCATGTAACCCTGGATAGCGTCTTGGCGGGTTGGAATAGCGCGGCTGATATTGCGTAAAGCATTCATACTTTTGTCCTCTGTGCATACTCGACTATGCAGCACATGGAATGCGTAACAGCTAGCCCACGTCGTTGCAGCGTTGTCCGTGCGTGGGCATCGTTGAAGAAGAAACTCGTGGTCGAGAACACGCTTGTGTTTGCGATGAGGCACTCGGACCGGGGGGTTCTGTAACAGGGTGTGGTGCCATGTTCATGCGGCGAGTCAAGGTGTCCTGGGGCCCCCTCGAGAGTGTCATCCAACTGACCCAACCAGTGGTTGGTCTCGTGGCTGGGTGCAACGTTCTTTTCGTCTCAACCGCATTTCATCAAGAAAGAAACTTGGTCTGAAGTCTAGCGGTGCCGTGCAATGGGATTTGGACTGCTGTGATCTAGCGCGCGGTTGTTTACGAAATCCAACGCCCGGAGCTCTGACACCTGAAGAAACTTATCCCGTCTTCCGGGGAAGCAGATGCCGAGTCTCTCGGTGATTGTAGGTCATCGACCGTTGGACAAGAGGTCTCTATTAGGTTTGTGTTCTTTTCTAAATTCGGCGCAGCGCTAGGGGCGCTCTCTAGATTGACCCAGATCCTGCAGCGGGTCGATGCAAGGGACACACATCCATTGCGTACCTTACATACGGCCCCATACGTAGGGCATACCAAGCATGTACGAAGTAGTAATTGAATTTCGAATAGTTTTCTCTGGAAAAAGGGGGCACTTTCAAGACATCGAATGACGACTAAGCAAGGGTCTCTTGCGCGCGCGAACGGCGATCAAACCAACAACATTCCCACCCCAGACTTGTCTCCCTCATAAAGGATTCTCCATCACTTTGACTTAGCCTCCCCCGCTGCCGCAAAAGCGTCCCGAACCCTACAGAACGCATCAACATTCTCTGCAAAACGACAATGTTCTACCCTGTAACAAAAACCCCATGATGAGGTGGGAAAAAAGGAGGAGGAGGGTAGGGATGCAAGAAGACCCAAGAAATCGTCCTATCTCCCCGGCCCGTCCAACCCTCTTGCAGGGCGTAGCGTCCAACTGCCGAATGCAGCACAACGGCCCACCCCCTTGCGCTCGAGCAGACGAAGCTTAAACACCCCGGTTCCTGGTCTCGTCTCGCGGCGACGAACGTTTGTCAAGCAGAAACATGTCACGGTCGCTGGCTGAGCCGGGGGCACGCTGGAGGAGACTGACATCCCACGCAGGTGAAGAACCGTTATGTGCTGGGGATCATTGAGGATGAGTTTCGAGCTGGTGCCGGGCGGGATGTGGAGGGCTGGGCAAACTCCACCGGGAACAGACGTCGAAGAAGCAAGGAGAAGACATCGTGGTACTTTCGCCGAACAGTCGCATGTAGCCTAATCGTCGTCCTCGCGGCTGTTCCTGAGATTGACGGTTCGCCTGATGGGACGTTTCCAAGGTACCTAGACCACTCGGGGGCAAGCCTCCGATTCGACAACATCGCCTTTGGCCCTGGGCAAACGATACGCACGGCTGCCTGCCTCCGTCTCGCCTCTTCCCTTTTCTCCCCTTCCCCTGTATGTGTCCATTCTTCTTAGGCTTTTCCGGATCTGCTGCAGGGGGCGGCGGCGGCGCGTTGAATGGTATAAGGCTGCGTTAGCGTCCCGCCGACTTCCCACGACCTCAGAAGGGAGGGTCCTTCTCTTCTTCTTTTGGAGGGCTGGAATTGCGCGACTTCTCTCCATCGACGGTACAAGCGGACAATATGGCGTCGAACACGAACTGGCCGCTCCAGGAAGAGCAGGCCGCTCGGAAGCAGACGTCGACCGTCGGTGTGTCAGAGTTTGATGATGCGGATAGTGTGTTGGAGAAGAACGAGACGCTGGTCGTCGGTACGACAAATCTCTATGAGAATGGGCAGTTGAGGTTGATTCCTGTGAGTGCTGCGTGTTGTTCTCCGTCGAATGGTGGCTGACTCCTTCTCAGATGCCAACGCCCGATCCCAAGGGTGAGAAACTCCATTCTTCGTTGAATGTCAACGACAGCTAATCGTCGTAGATCCATTGAACCTTCCTGCTTGGCGCAAGTGGACAGCCATCGGTTGTCTGTGCTTTTGTAAGTCTTGAACACCAAGATACAGACCAGCCTACTTACTGTATCCAGTTGGCGCCCTCGCCCTCTCAGCAGAGGTTGTCATCGGTGGTCTCCTCCCCATCTTCATCCTCGAATACTCCGGCGTCGATCCCCATGTCATCAACACCTTCGACTTCAAGAAGGCAAGCGGTGGCAGCGGCCTCAACATCAACCCCATGTCCGTTGTCCCGGCCGGCGTCAAACCCGCCTCTCTCGAAGAGGTCTCGCTGCTGGCCACCATGCCCCTACTGGCGAACGGTATCGCGAGTTACTTCCTCGTGCCAACATCCATCTGGATCGGTCGCCGACCCGTTCTACTGTTCGCCGCTACCTCTGCCTGGGCTGGTGGTCTGTTTGCCGCGTTCAGCACCAGTCTGCACCAGCATCTACTTGCGAGAGCGCTGATGGGTCTGGGTGCTGGCGCCGTGGAGGCGTTGATCCCCCTGATTGTTCAGGATATGGTCTTTATCCACCAGAGGAACAAGGCAATGTCGGCCGTTGTCTCTAGTCAGGGTATCATCATCATTGGGTTGGGAGTTGCGGCCCCTTGGGTGTCTGCCAACTACACCTGGAGGTGGATGTACTACATCACCTCGGGCTTGGGTATCTTGGCATGGGCTCTTCTCATCGCCTTCCTACCCGAGACTAGGTGGACCAGGTCTCAGGCGGAGCTCAGTATGTTGGCTTTTCCACTGGTGCTCACTAGATGCTAACTATATCCAGGTGGCCAGAAGATCTTCCCCCTTGCCCCTGGCCAAAACCGACCCGAGCTCGACTTCACGACCTTCACCCCGCGCACGACCTGGACCAACATCGGCGTCTTCCAGAACGGCTTCGAGTTCAAGCGCGCCGCAAAGTCCATGTTCGACGCCCTCCGCTCCACCTACTTCCCCGCGATCATCTGGGCTGTCCTCGCCAACAGCATCATGATCGTCAACAACCAGGCCGCGCAGCAGATCACGCCATTCGCGCTGCTTGCTCAGGGCTGGGAGTTCCAGTGGACTGGTCTCACCGTGCTACCCTTCTTCCTGGCCTCCGCGCTGGTGTATGTCTTTGGTGGTCCGGTGGCTGACAAGATGTCCAACGCGGTGACGAGGTGGAATGGTGGTAGTCGTGAGCCGGAGCATCACCTCGCCAACCTTGTTTTGCCGCTTGTCACTGGTGTGGCGGGATGCTTTATATTCGGAACGGCGGGTGAGAGGAACTTCCACTGGAGCGTTCTCCTCGTAGGCTCGTTCTTGATCGTCTTTTTGTTCCTTATGACCATGACCATCCTCAGCGTTTTCATTGTGGAAAGCTACCCACAGTGGGCAGGGTAAGTCATGATTGTGACGCACCTCTGAGAATCTTTGCTAATGTATAACAGGCCGGTGCTCGTTAACGTCTCGTCCCTGCGCATCGTCATCGCATTCTTCCTAGCCTCAAAAGCCACGATCTGGATCGCGGAGAAGGGACCCATCCAAACTTTTGCCCTCTACGCGGAGACCATCATCGTTCTGTCCCTGGGTCTGCCAGTCCTGTATTTCTGGGGCAAGAAGATGCGGCAGTGGACAGCTGGCAGTGTCAAGACCAAGCCAAGCGAGAAGGAGAAGGCGTTTGACGACGGTGCCTCTGTTTGAGGTCGGTAATGGTAATGATGTGATACCCCTTGGGGACGACTGCTTGGCTCGAAGCATGACGTGTAGTCCGGATAATAGAGACCGAATTCTGAATAATCAATCCTGTCGCTACCGAACGCTGGAGATATCTTCTCAGCTTGTAATACCTATTTGGTCACTGCCATCCGATCTGATACCTCACGTCAGCTGGGCGAAGACCTTCAATATCCTGTTCTATCTCACTACTCTCTCTGTGGCTTTCTTACTTTAATCTTCGTTACTATCCTCATCCTCCGTCTTGTCACCGTTACTCTGGTCCTCCTCGCCGGTCTCGTCGTCTTCCCCGTCATCCTTCCTATCGAAAGGGTCATCGGATCTTGTAAGTTGTTGATACAGCACTGTCCAGAAGGTCACTGAGAGCACCTTCCGTCTTTACGACCGCCAGAGAGTGAAGCTGATAGTGCGGTCCGCAAGGATGCAGGACCGAAGGGGACGAGGCCTGATAGAACTTGACAACACTGTCTCCCACGCAAACACGCCCCTGGGCGTAGCCTATAATGTCGGAGTCCGCAATGAAGACTGCCTTGTTTATAGAAAGACCCTGAATTGTTCTGTAAAATCCTGTTGCAGAGCCCAGCAGGCGGAAGACAGATCCCGGCCTCGCATCTTCAGGCGTCGAACGGATAACGTACTCCGGGCCTTGATGTAGGGACAACACGACATCTATTGCTGCGTCAATGTCCGAGTCGACGAAAGCGAGCACTTTGGGGTGTCTTTGATGCTCGTTGAGTGCCTTCTGAAGCTTTTCCCTGGCTTGGGAGAAGATATACCGACGGTTCTCCTCGCAACCTGGGAGTGTGGATTTGAAGAGAGTATGCAGGTCCTTGAACCCTCTTTTGAAGCCCTCCTTGGGTTGGTTCGGGCTGTAAGTCAGCAATAACCAGCAGAATGCTAGAAGACAGGCTTCGGCATGCTCAGCATTGTCGCATTCGGCGTAGATGCGCCTGAAGAACCTGATCCGTTCTGCGCCATGCCGCTTTAGTGTAAGTTCGTATTCAACGGATAGCCGCTGCGCAGCCAAGATGTCCTTTTCAATAAGCGCTCTGTCGCGGTCGTCAAAAACCGTCTCGATCACACCAAGTGTTTGGCCTTGCAGAACAATGCCGTCGTCACCAGTGAACTTGATTTCGTAGCTCTGTCCATCCACCGGCCCTTCCCAGTGAGTTGTAGTCTCTCGGTCTGCAGAGTCCAGGGGAACGCCTCCTAGCTCGATCAAAACATCGTCGAACCATCTATAGTCGTCGCTCCAGTCAGGAACCCAGGATGGCAGACCACTCTGGCGGTTTCCACTCCACACATTATCCAGCGGCCATAGGGTGTTCTCGTGCCGTATGATAGCCTTCGTCGCTTCCGTGTATATCTTGGCCACTGATTGTGTATAATCGGGACTTGGGAATGACTGTCCGAGTCTCTGAGAAATGCCGTAGAGCCCGAAGATCTTGTCTTTTGGGTTGGTGGCATGCCGAATTCTGGCATGTTGTACAAGGCTCGACAACTTCCCCTCCTCATTTGCTCCAGCCAATTCGGACTGGCTCCGTTGAATTTCCTGGTCATTGGTGCTGCCAGAAATATCTCGAAAATCCGAATAGGCGTAAAAGCAATTAACAAAGTTCCTCACCCCTTTGCTAGACAGAGAGAATGTAGCCTCCATAAGCTCCAAAGCTTGGCAGAAGGTGTCCCAGGCAATTACCTGTTTCCCGCAAAGTATGGCAGCATGGGTGGCAAGAAGAAGCTCTTGGAGAGTCCACATTCTCTCGAACCAGGGCCGTCCAAGAACGTCCTCAATTATCTCGCGAATCGTTTGAGCATCTGATGTCCCCCATCTAGTATCTGACATAATATGAACATGCATTGTTCTGGAATGAAGAGGATAGATCATGGGGCAAGAAATCAACTTGAACTGACCACATTGGTTCATGAACTTGGTGCAAAACTCGGTTCGAAAGTCTTCCCAAGAATCGTCTCGCAGCAGATATAAACGTTTCAGATGAAGAAAGAATGCATCCGTTTTAGCGTCGCCATTTCCCAACCAGACAAGGACGTCTTTAGCGACTTGGTAGATATCGCCCATCATCGCAACCTGAGTATTACGCTCCTGGACTCCACCAGGAGTCTGGTCAATGCAAATGCTATCGACCCATAGGATACGGTCCTCGGAGGCTCTCCTCAGATGCCTTAGTGCCGCATCGCAGTTGACGGTGATGGGCAAGATCAACGCCCCGAGCTGGAGATAATGTGACGAGCTCGGTGGGCCCCACACGTACGACAAGGCTTCAAAGTGATGTGAAGCTTCTATCACGGAATTTCGAGAGATCTGAATGCCACATTCAATCAGTGATCCGGAGAGAACTTCACCGGCTTTATATGCGGGGTGGAGGACTAGGAGCCTGGTCCGTCGAGGGCCACTTAGTTGGGTGTGTTGATATGACATTATGAGCCATGCAAGCAAATTCTAACGGTCTCATTAGCGAAGATGTTGGTGTCTCGAGAAAGGAACACCGGAGATGGCGCAAAATCAGAGAGAGAAATCCATGCATAGGTACTAAGTGTTGAAATGTGGAATCCCACTTTTTGAGGGGTGCTGCAGAACTCACTAGCTGCATTGCCAGCCTGCTCACGCTACCCCTATCAGCCGCAAGTAAGCCCATTCAGCTACGGCATAGCCTCTCATCTCCGCCTGATACATCTTCAGGTCTCTGATTGCTTCAGTCGCATCCATGGATATTATCAACAGCTTTACTAGTGCTGCGCATCCTACCAAAAACCGCTTCCAGTCAACAGCTCACGGATATCACGACAATTGTGTGCATACCTTATAGACAACGAAGTTTTAACAACTTTACTAAGACTGATATAACGAAAGTCCTGACATGCTCTTTAGTTTATATGTGAAGCAAAATCTTCCTTGAATGCTGTGAATATTTCGTCCAATGCCAACGTCTTGAGTGAACACCCACAAGGAACGATGTGGATGCAGTATGATTTGAATCAAAGCACGGAGGGTTACATTCAAGCCTACAGACTCGTTTTGCCAACTGTATCAAGTATATCAGTCAGGATGCTGGCGATATTTAACTACCCTAGGAGCTTTACTAGCCGAGCAGTGCTCCCTGTACCTTTAACAGTGGCGTGCTTAATACTTCTATAATGATAATGTAGTAAAGAAAACGATAGAAACAACGATACTAATAATGAAGATAAACTACGATGATGAATGATGATAACAACGATTAACGACGACGATTGACGACGACGACAGACGACGACGACAACTACAACGATAACGGCAGTAAGCGACTATATAAGCGATATCAAGGAATAATACGGGGATTAGTAAGATACACGGATTACACACGTGTGTATGGGCACTGCCCGGTTAGCAAAACTCTTGACTAGCAGTCGTTCCCCGCGCGAATGATTGGGTCCACAGCGAAGTAGTAGCAATACTGTTCAAGAGAGATGAGCCGAAACTCATTCCATACTCCTGTTGATATTCTATCGCTCCATTCAAATTTCTGCGGCGTTTGAGGGTGAACTTAATTCGGTAAGGTTTCCAGCAGCAAATCTTCCCCTGCCTGTGATTTCGCACATTTCACATGCCATCTTGTCAAGATGATGCCCGTCCAACGGATCTAGGTTCACTTGACGGGAAGTCTCTATAGGGTGTTAGTAGCAGGATATATAAGTAGGTTTCTTCTTTCTGTAACTTATCAACCGACGCGTTTCCCTCCTTCTCTCGGACGACCCATGTCTGGCACAATACAGCGTCACCTTACAATAAGGAATCTTTCGCACCGTCTCTGAGATACGCTTGCCTTCTGATCAATGGACGACGATACATATGAACAGCTGCTAGATGAGGCAGAGGCAGATGGATTACTGAAAGTCATACACGTGGCCCATCAGCCCTTCAACTCAAAGAGCTGGAAATCCATCCCCGTGGGGCTGGCCATCGTTCTCGCCAGTGACCCTGTTCTTGCGAGCGGCGAAAATGCAATTTGGATGGCCAGACTCGTCGTTAAAACCGGGAATATCGTCGGTCTGATGAAGGGCGGATTTCATTGGTCCCCCAAAAATGTTCACTCAGAGGCTTCGCACTTCGACATGAAAGTCAACGACCCCGAATTGTCACAGTACAAGCAAGAAGTTTCACGCACGTTTTATCTATCCGACACCCGGACTCCAGTTTCCTGAGCAGCGAAACTTGAAGTTGCTGCCAACAAGCAAAGCGACCTAGCAAGATTCAAGGTAAATGATTTGGAACTAGACCAAATTGAGAAAGCTGAGGCCTGGAACACCAACGGCCAGCTCATCTGCCACTACTGTCGGCATGATCAGAACAACAATTTTAATGCTATATATGACGACTTGCCACTTGAGGGCTGGTGGCCGTGGCCAAAGCAGAATGAACAAGCGGTTGGAATTCGACGCACGAGGCAAGTTGGCAAATCTGTCGATACTCCCAAGGTCAAAAGAGGCATGTCTAAGTCGATCGAGATGATGTATATTTAAGGGGAAGTATTGCTATCTAGGCGGTGTCAGTTAGCTACCCAGGCAGTGTCCACTACAAACGCGGGTAATCTATATATCCTACTGAGACCCCATTATCGCCCGTACTAAACCGACTGAATTTACTGCTGTCGTCGCTATCGTTATCGTCGTCGCTATCACTGTCGTCGTCGTTGTCGCCGTCGCCGTCGTCCATCGCCGTCGTCTTATATCGCCATATCGAAAAACTAGTTGCGCTACGAATAGATTCAAAGGGGACATTGGCCGGATAGCCAACGAAGACTACACGGTTAGCAAAACTCTCAACGGGACGTCATCAAGAAAATATAATGGTGGTATTTGTGGAGTAAGAATCAATCAAGTACTTATTTAGAAACAAGAAAGAGTGCTGGCCAAGCCATTGCTTAGTGCGATGGAGTAGAATTATTTATATTTCACCTTGGGGGTGGATTCGTCGCTGGCAAGAAACAGTTCGACACCCATCAATAACTTGAAACATGCCCGAAGCCAGAACGGAAGACAACAGGAAGCAGGGGGACGATGAAAGCTAGAGGTAACGATGATAAGACGAATGATGGAAAAGGCAGCAGTAAATGTAACGACTTGGGCCAGATGGCACAGCAAGAAAACTCGCTGAGTCGTCCATCTTCCTATGTTATAATAAACGAAAAGGTGATCTCTCTGAAGCATTCCCGACTTTTGCTTCATCTTCCAACTCTTCACCTTGCCCTCTGCTAAATCATTGAGGGAGCTCGTGTCTCGCCTGAAGAGTCGCTGTAGGCACTTCAGGAGAGACGGCGTTACCGTGCTGTCCCGGAGCCCAAGGGGGCGGTGGGCCGTACTTGGGATCAGGACTTGAAAACGCCCCCATCGGGGTCGCAGCCTCGGCGGCTTTGACCTTCTTCCTCTCGAGCACGAGCAAGAAGCTGAGAACCACAACGGCGATGGCGAGAGGCACGCCGACCCCAACCCCGATGCCAGCTGCAGCACCCGCAGAGATTCCATTGTTCAGTTCGGTTCGCGCTGACGACGATGGAGTACTAGAGCTCGTGGCTGTTGCTGTAATTCCGAGATCCGACTCGACGGCAGTGTTCAACATGATTTTGCCAGGCTGCTCGATGGTAAAGTTCGCCTGAAGGCATTCGTTCGGTTGGCCACACGCGTAAACCGCGGGGGGTTCACAGCCCCAAAGACCAATATGTCTGCCAGGGTCTGTTACATTCATGAGTTAGCGAGTAGTGGATATATTATTGCCGAAACGATCTGCCATACCTGCGCCGGAAATCTCAGATCTGTCGCAGTATTTTGGGCATCCTTCTGCTCCAAACTTTGAGTCGGTGCAAGCGCCACGATACAGGGTGTCATCGTCTGGGTCCATGCAAAGGCCATTTGTCAGGCAATAATGGTTATCGAAGCAGCAGGCTGCCGCTGCTTTGCCTCGAGGTGTAGGACACGGCTTCGCTGCGGTGTTGGCTATACCGTTAGGCCAGTAGCATGTTGTAGTTTGGCCGGCTATTTCGATGGCCAAGCTGAGGACACTGAGAATCTTGCATATTTGCATCGTGCTAAGTCAGGAGAGAAGTTTAGACAAGGGAACAGGCGACTGCGACCCTGCGTGAAACGAGGCCGGGTGCAACAAGTCTTATTAGTACACTACACTGTTCGTCTCAGCCTGATTGGGTCATGTGTGTAACTCTACATAGCTCGGGAAGATGGGAAGCCCCATACAGTCGGAAAGTTGTCACTTCCGCATGGGTTGCACGAATCAAATCTTCAGAAAACGGCACGAAAACAGTGATTCCGATGGCTCGAAGGCTGCGGCGTTGGCGATGATTTCATATAACGAAGGATTCGAGGCGGCATGCAGCTTTACAGCATATGCCAGAGGCCATCCTACAATGCGGGACCTCTGCCAACACACCAGGCTGCGAGTCTCTAAGGCAATAGATCTTCACAATATTACCGGTATGCTGACAATTGCGTGTGGACTTCATGTAGCCAAGCAGCCGAAAGCCCCACACCGGTGACTTTCGGAAAGCCATCTTGGGTTGGATCGACTCTCACGAGCAGTACACGATGCCCGATTAGTAGATAATTGCAGAGAGCGCGTAAAATTACCATGGAAAGAGACGACCAGCAGGCTGGCGGGCTTTTTGACCAATCCTCCTCAATGTTATCTGGAATTAAAGTTAACTAACACAATCTCTATCAACATCGCGGTGAGTTCGATGACGCCAATTAACTGTCCCTTTGATAGGTATGTGTTATGGGTGATTGAATTGCGTACCAAGGTTTGTCGATGCTCAAACCAAGCCATTCATCTTCAATATAACGGCCCATCCAACGCCGACTAAGCTGAGCGCGGTGAAACCAGCCGGGCTCATTTCACCGTAGAACCCCACGTGGCACCTGCCAACCTTCAATGCCAGTATCATATACGGCCGCGGCTCCCAAAACCATGACCCTATCAGTCCAAGTCCAAACTTCAGTTTTCTACCCACCTCGCCGGTTATTTGGGATACAGGCAGATTGCTGCCCAGCAATGATCGTTAGCCACGTTCGCTTTGCGACACTGCTGGAGAGAGACCACACGGACTGATTGTTCCCGGGACGGGATTCCGACTGTGCGAGGAGCGCTTGGTCCTGGGCTTGTCCCGCTGTTGGACTGGGAACGGTGGCAGCGGCTGTGGCCGCATGCGCGGCTTGGTTGGCTACGGGAGAGTTGTGGCTGCGAGGCAGCCGGTAGTTAGTTTCTCTAATGCTTGACGTTAGCAGAGACAAGGAATAGCAAGAGTGAAGTACGACAGCGACGGGAACAGAGATGGGGACAGAGACGGGAATGACGCGCTAGGTAGCGGCCATGAGGGCAATTCATAGTGATTAGAGAATTTGCGCTCGAGATAACTCAAGCTGACCACATGCAAATGCAGTGATAGCAGTGATTGCCACTGCAAGAGAGGATTGGGATCGGATAGGAAGGACATAAAGATGGAACACTTACGAGGACATTTTGGTGGTTGCGACAGTGGGTTGACGATGTTGATTGATTTGATGAGCCAAAATGAGCCTCAAGGGCACTGCGGAGGCTTTTCAACATGTTTTTGTTGCTACTGGAGGTAGCCCTATCCACCGCAGGATTAGAGTTTGAAAGCCACCACCCTCAAGGTAAGTTCTGCGCCATGAAGGCCAGCTGAAAGTAGGACATCCTCGTGCTCGTTTCACCATCTTAGATCGAATTATCCTCACGTGTGAGAAAATCACAATGGCAGAGTCCCCCAGTCCGATGCCAAAATTTTGCGAAGCAGTAGGAGTAACTTAATAGATATCCTACTACTCTTTTTTAAGTAGTAATTTTACTTTTGTTGAAGCCCCAAAAGTTTCTTGCATCAGGTATGTCGCTTGCTGGCCGCTAAGTCTTCGTGATGTGCGCAACAACAACATAGAGGCCGAGCATCACGTCATGCTTGCCGCCGACACCCGGCCCCACTATCGGATCCGGGTTGAGATGGAACGGGCCGAAGGAACGGGGGTCAATCGCCGAATGAATTAGATAAGCGAGGTGATGTCTTGGTCCCAGTGATTCCTGGAGGTCCCCACTAAAAGCACTGCTGATGTAATCCGGCACTGGAAGCGAGCGGTCGAAGGTTCCCCTGGTCGCGAGCCAAAAAGTAGCTTGTCCGTAGCGTACCGGCTGCCCTGTGGCTGGCACGATGGTGGTTTATTTTTGTCGCCTTTGCGGTCTGTGAATTGCGCTGGAATACCGCTAGAGGGACTTTGGCTACGCCGCACCAACAATGCAAGGACGGGACCTGCGGCGGGAGTGTTGTTTGTTCCGTCATCGACAGAGGGATAAACAAGCAAACGGTCATGTCATGATGTGCTGCTCCTATCCTATTAACGTATTCTATTGAGTTACGAAATTTGGTCAGGTGAGAAAGGGGTCGAATAGGAGAGGCAGCGATGCAATTGCCCGTTGATGCCCATTGCATCAGGCGACAGAAAGTGCCCAGAGCAGGAGCAGGGTCGACATTCTGGCCTGCCCGCCGACACGGAGCTGGGCAGTACGTACCGGCGCAACGGGGAGGAATGGAGCGAGCTCCCCTCTTTCTCTGCCTGACTTGACCCAATGAGATGCCAGGGTTGGCAAGCTTCGTCGGGTACGTACCGGCGCATGGCAGCGCAGCGCACCGCGCACCGTCCTTTCTTTCTTTTTTTGCGGGGGTAAAATTTGTGACGCAGCCCCGATTTTTTGTCATCATCGGATTGTCCCAACTTTTTTTTTTTTTTTTTTTTTTTCTTCGTGAGAGCAGGAGCAATAGGGAGCAAGTGCCCAAGTCCGGGTGGAAGGAGCAAGAAGCAAGAAGCACCTGCATCTTCTGCCTGCGTGGGAAAGGAGAAAACGGTTGGCAGCAGGAACAGTTGCCTATGCCCTTGCCTTCCCTAAACTATTGCATCAGAGTCACCAGAAGCAATCAAACAGACAAACGGAAGACAGGCAGGTGAGTGCCTGTGACATAATTGCCTCCCCCGTCGCTTCCATCTCCATCTCCATCTCCAGTTCTCCCTTCACCGCGTCCACGGCCACGTCCACGTCCACATCCACGTCCACATCCACGTCTGGGACCCTGTACCTTTTCTTCTCTCCACTTCTTGAACTTTCCCCTCCTCTGGGACCTCTCCTTTACGCAGTCCACGTCGCCAGGCGAGGTACCTTACAGACGCATCTCCATCACCGGTCACCTCGCAGCAGCATCGTCACCTACCACCCTCTCCCCCTTTACCCCTTTCCCTCGAGGCCGTTCGTTCGTCTCTCCTTTTTCTGCTTTGCATCTTGCATCGGCCAGGCTACCAACAGCGCGCACTGGCACCCACGGGATCGTCTTCCTAACATGCGCGTCCCCTGCTGTACATAGGCCCTTCTGCACGAGAAGAGTCACGACCTTACACTAAGCTGCCTACACACACTACCTCACTGCAGATACCTGCACTAAAGCTGAGGTAGCTTGGTTGCCCCGACTGAGGCCCGGACCTACAACTTGCGCTTTGCGACTTCACTGCACCGGGTGTTCTACTACCTTGCTTCTCTCGCCAGCATCAGCCGACGTTGCGGTCCTTCTTCTAGAAATACCCACCTGCTGAGTGTCCACCAGTAGATATCAGCTGCAATTCATCTGAGGTCTGAGGTGCTGCTGCTATCGCCGACAACGCTCGCGGACCGACCTGACGCACCCACCCCCCGGCTGCTCCTCTGTCGTCCTTGTCGTCCGCCCTCGTCCTGGCACTAGCCCCCCCAGTCGCACCTGCTCAAGAAAAAAAAGGATCCAGTCACCACTTCTGCGACTTGGACGTGGGCTCCCAACGCCGCTTTCTCAACACCACCACCACCTCCGCCTTCTCGTCAACCATGGCTCCCAACGTCAACACGAAGGCGAGGAACGGAGTCGGTGTCGGTGTCGTCGCCAACGGCAAGCCTCTCCGTCGCGTCGTGCCTGCAATTCCCCTCACCTACGAGCGCCGCCTCAAGGCCAATGCTGCTGCAAAGCATGCCGCCGCCCAAGCCCACGCCGCCTCCGTCCCAGTTGTATCCCTTCCTCGGCCCGCCGCCACCACCAACGGTTCTTCCTTGAAAATTCAGAACGACGTCGACGACTCTGCGCCACCGACCCCCAAAACCCTCGAGCCTGCCATCGCCGAGAAGACGGACAACGACGACAACGACGCCGCCGCCGAGGACGACAACGACGAGAAGCCTGCCGAAGACCATGCAGTAAAGGATCGCGACGGTACGTGTAAACTTCTGCTCGAGCTACAACTCTCGAGGTGGATGCTAATAATTGTCTACCAGGTACTCAACAGACTTCGATCACTGCCCCTGCTGCCACTGCCCCCGAAGTGTCCGAAGCGACCGACAAGCCCTCCGAACGAGACGCGCCCCCGACTGTCATGGAATTTGCGCCAGGTATGTTGCTTGCTGGCCGCTACGCATGCCAGGACTCTCCCTCATACCTTGCGGACGATCACCCGGCAGCTTCGCCGGCCTCTGGTCAGTCTGCTTGGTTGGGTGAGAATTCAAGGCAAGGTCTTTTGGGGCAGCAAACAAATTACTCACACCTTGCAGAGAAACACCAGCTTCCTCCGACTTTCCGACCCCCTCCTGTCATCTCTCCTTCGCGCTACAACATGCCTCCCGGCGCGCCCAACGGAACTCGCCCTGCGCCAGTCGTCCTCAATGGCACTTCTCACCGAGGCCCTCGATCTGTCCACAACGGCCCCCCGCACATGCATGGCCCGCGCCCAAGCAACGGCAGCCTGGTGCAGTTCGGCGGATTTGGTTCCAACTCCTCGTCTCCCGCCCCTCCTCACTCTGGCGGCTTCATGCCTCCTCCCGGCGCGCCCCTCCAGGACGGACGCCAGTTCCACAACCATGCCGCGGTGGCTGCCAACGGCTACCCTCCTCAAATGCCTTATGGCACCGAATTTGTCCCTGGAACCGCCGTAGACCAGTTTGGCAGACCGATTCCAGGTCCTCCTGGCATGGAGCAGTACCACCCGTACGTCAATGGCTACGGACCGTCCACCCCTCACAGCTTCCAGGGATCCCACTCGTCGGCTCAGGCGGAGGACGTCGGTGCCTACAACCACTACCCCGCGCCTGGCATCCCCAACGGTACTTCCCACCTCGATGACGCTCGCCCTCACCCTCCCCAGGCCGGAGGTTTCGGTGTACCACCCCAGCGGATGATGCCTGGTCCTATGCCGCCCCCGCACATGATGCATCCCGGACACGAAGCCCAGGCATTGGATGGACTCACCGCTTATCTGCGGTCACAGTTCCGTGATACCACATTCGCTGACTGTACCCTGGAGCTCCGATATCTGGACGACCGTTATCCTCCCGTCCGAATTCCCGGCCACCGCCTAGTGCTTGCCAGAAGTCAGGTCATCAAGAACATCCTCGAGTCTGAGAGCTTCGAATCTAGCCCGCCGGGTGCTAACCGCATGATTCTTCTCCCTTCCGACGACAAGTACCTTCGCTCCGATGCTTTTTGGATGGCAGTTCAGCATCTTTATGCCTACCCCCTGCTTGGCATCCCGGACCCCAGTGCCAATGGCGGTCTTGGCATGGCTGGCACGGCCGACGATCGGTTCGAATTCGCCCTTGGTTACGCCGCAGCTGGCCACGCGTTGGGTTGGCACCCAATTGTTGTTCGTGGCATGGAGATCGCCTCTCACTCTCTCGGCTGGTCCACCATTGAGCGAGCCATCGCATTCGCCCTGGGTGATGTAGCGGGCCGTGCCTCGGCCGACCGCCACACCCAGTTCGTCTACGGTGACGCAGTCCAGATTTTGATGAACGGGATTATCAACTTCCTCGTCAACAACTTCCCGGCAGACTTCACTCTGGACACGTCTGTAGCCGATCCTGAGCGCTACCCTCGCATCCCGTCTGTTCCTGCCATGCCGCCCACCCGTGAAGGCACCCCGACCATCGCCCACGGAACTTCGGGTAAGGACCGTCGTTCACGCCCAATGCACATCCAGTTCGGCGATCTGGCGTTGAACCATGACGGCTCTAGGGTGTCCGAGCCCTCACCGTTGTCGCCTCAGCAGCGAAACATTCAGTCCATCCTGTCAACCATCCTCATCAACCTGCCCTTCGCATTCTTGAAGCCGACTCTTGAATCGAGTGGCTTCGGCAACGTTAACGGATGGGCCAATGTGGAAGCGCGCCACCAAATCATGCTGGACGTTGTCAACGAGCGTGAGGCCAGAAGACACCGAGCAGTCGAGGCCGTAAGAGCTGGCGTCATTCCGGACGCCGAGTCAATCTTCTATGGTCTTCAGAGCGTGGAGCCCCGCGTGGCTGAGGAGTGGAACGGGCTCGGCTGGCGTGAGGAAGTGGTGTCGTACGTCAATGGCGACGCGCCGTCCCTCGGCCGGCAGTGGGTTCCGCTGATGGCTCAGAACGGCGGCGGCCATGTGGAGAACACGGGCCGCCCGGCTTATCCTTGAATCAAGCATTAGCCGGGATTACGATGTTACGACATGGAGACTCAAAAGAAAAAAGATCGACGACGACGATTCGGGGCGGTCTGCATTCGGCATTCACATGATGACCAAAAAGAAAAAAAGCGGCAATTCCTTTTCAGGAGGGTTCGGTTGATGGTTTGGGCATTGCGCATGGTGTTCTTTTGGCAGTTTTTTTGTGGAAAAGTCCAAGCTACAGAAAGCGTGGAAGTGAATGGGGCATTTTGTGCTGCGGTTATGCTGTTATGGGCATCTGTGTTGGTCTGGTTTGTTTGCGCGCGCGTGTGTTGATAGTCATGTCAGACTCGTAGCTGAATGTCTGCTCATCCTTGATGGTAGGGCTTTGCAGACGGGTACCTAATTGGCAGACTTGTTGACGCATGGCCATGGGCAGGTGTTTTTGGATGAGGTTGTAACCCCTCAACAGCGGCCGGTGAGCAGGATGGCAAATGATGGGATGAGGACAGGTAAAGGGGGACACGGAAAGATCAACGGGCCGGTTGTGGGGAGGACGTGTATACCCGGTGATGTATGGGTTGAGAGAGAGAAAAATGACGGCTCCTTATGAGGAGTGAGTGTTGCGGGGAGCCCAGGCGACGCCGGAGAACCGACAGGTTGGGCGGGTCGTTATTTTGCCATGGCCTCGACTCGTTTGCTAGGTATTCATAGTGTGTACTGATGAATCTGCAAAACATTTGCAAGTGTTTCCGGCCTGGATGGGTGTATCTGGTGATGCTGTCGAAGCTTCTGTTGCGCTTGTGATCGAAGAAGGGAAGAATATCCGAGCCTCACGAAGGAACGCGACATCACAGACCAACAACAAAGACAGAAGCAGACGCGAAGATTTAAACATTTCTTCGACTATCAACAGGATGCATGAACAGGTCATTAAACTTGATGGCGCACCTCTCCGAGAGTGGCATCTGGGAGGAAAAGTGTGGGGAAGTCCCCTGTCGCGAGGGGCACTCTTTGGACATGGCGACGTTGGCTGGGCCAATCAGTGGTGTTTGTTTCTTCAGTGGTCGAATTTGGGCCCCTCCATCCCCGGGACAGCAGGGATCAATGATGAATTGCCTGAGAGCCGAGGCATGTGCTTGCTTCCCTCCTCGCGCTTGTTTCCTTGGGGGTCCAGTGGCTTTCCCGTGACGCCTGACGCCCAGCCCAGCAGCGCCAGGTATCTGCAACTGTGCGAGTACGACCGACCTCCGCGACGCCCAAAGCTGAAGGTGCGAACGTCGAGTTCCGCATTCCACACACATACACGCGCGACCACTACTACAACACTCTCTCTTAATTACTTTACATAACCAACTTTTAACTCTTTCCTTCTTCCGCTTCTTTCGTCGTCTGCGATACTCAACTTAATTGCCGCCGCGCCCAACCACATCGCCCAGCTCGGTGTACGTCCAACTCTCCTTTCCCAGACATCGGCCCCGGTCGTTGAGGTCATCGCGCAAAGCCGACGCTAGAGTTCCGGCATTGACACGTGCTAACGGAGCTTCCTCAGTTCGGACCAAACCCTCCTCACGCTTCCCCAGATTCTCCAAACCTCCGCCCGAAGCACACGACAAGTCACGACACCTCCCTCCATCTCTCCGCCGTCTCTTATCGTCGACTACCACCCTCTCACTACCGAACCGATCCCCGCGAAAGTCAGCTGCTCCAATGGCCTCCGCCGCGACCTCGTCGTCGCGGCCAGGCCCAGTCGGCGCCGCCGCTGTCTCCACCCCGAGTCCTCGTCCTGCCGGCAGCGGTCCTTCGCGAGCGCCGCCCTCGCGCAGCAGCGTCACCGACCCCGTCCTCCGAAACACCCTGCGATACACCATCTCCGCGAAGGAGTATGCCACCCTGCACAAGTACGTCCTCTCGCGGTCGCGCATCCTCAAGAGGGCTGCGCCGAGCGTGAGCGCCGTCGAGCGCATCGTTGAAGGGGAGAAGCCGAAGCAGAATGCCGGACCGGGTGCTGGAGGACGGACGGTGGACGATTACAATGCGCGCGCGGTGCGCCATTCCTTGCGTGTGTTCATCGGTACGGCGGTTGCGATGAAGGGATGGGCCTTGATTTCCCAGAAGCTGTTGGGCGCGAAGCCAGAGTAAGTGCCACCAAGGATATCCAGAACGACTAGATGCTGACATGGAGACAGTCCTGCTGTGGCTGGCCAGAAACAACCACTACACAAGTCGCCGACGCTCCGCCTTTCGCTCTCTCTATCTACCATCCTCCTGCTCTACCGCATCCTCTTCCGATTCCTGGCACGTCTGCGTGCCCATCTTCTCGACCCCACGGCCGCGCCCTTTCGCCAAAGAAACCCGCGTACAGCAGCGACCTTGACGTCTCCGTACGCCCCCGCCATCGGTGCGTCGCTGGCCGGTGTATTCTTGGGCGTCTACCCTTCCCAGCAGTTGCGCGTCACCATCGCCATCTACACGCTCTTCAGGGCGCTCGAGTTCGGATGGAATCTGTGTGAAGAGGAGGGCATGATCTGGGGCTTCAAGAACGGAGGCAAGGTCAAGCGGGAGAGACCATGGTGGTGGGGCAGCTGGCTCATTCAGCCGTTCGCCTTCGGACAGCTGCTCCATGCTGTGGTGTTCGACCGGGACTGTTTCCCTGAGACATACGGAAACTTCATTTTCAAGAATTCGACGGCGTACATTCACCCCAGACCGGCGGATTACCCGGCACACCTCAAGTGGCCCAAGGCCTATGAGATTGTGGACAACTTGGCTCAGATGGCCAAGCTCAACTGGCCGTACGTATTCCTCTTCATCTTACCTGACTTAGCTAACATTCGCAGGCCATACATCTCACCAACTCTCTTCCCGAACAAGGAGACGCTCCCAGCGACCCTCAGCGCCGTTAAGCCCCTGACCTCAACCGCCCACCCCATCATCAACTCACTCTCCTGCGCGACGCTTCACCCCTCCGACCCGTCTTGCCTGCGAACTTATCTCAACTTCTGGCTGGGCTCATTTCCCGGCCTCACCCGCTTCTTCCTCATCATCTACTCCGCCGTTACCTTCCTCCCGCGCTTCCGCTCGCTGTACAACGCCCCCGTCACGACTCTCCAGCGGGTCCTCGCCAAGTCGCTGCGCATGAGCACCTTCGTCACGGGGTCCATTTCCACCGCCTGGGCCAGCATCTGCTTCTTCCAGCAGTGGTTCCCGCGCACCTTCCTCCCCACGCAGAGGTTCTTCCTCGGTGGCTTCCTGGCTGGTCTGTGGGCCTGGGTCGAGAAGCGCAACGGACGTGGCGTGTTCCTATACTCTGCCCGCGTTAGCGTTGACTCCCTGTGGAAGGTTGGCGTAAAGAGGAGGTGGTGGAGGGCGATGAAGGGCGGCGATGTGTGGGTGTTTGTCATGGCGTTGATGGTCACTGGTGTCGTCTACGAGAGGGACGCAAGGGCTGTGAAGGAGGGTAACTGGAGAAAGGGCATCAGCTGGGTGCGTGGTGAGGGTTGGAGGGACTGGAGCATCGAAGAGGATACGGAGGCGGAGGATGAGCATATTGAGAAGATGGAGTAGGTGTGATTGCTTTTGATGAGATGAGACCTTGAGATCACGGTCGTTGTAGGTTTCGGTTTGCATGGTTTATTCTTCATGGCGGGGTGTTGTAGGCGCCTTACCTGTTGTACGAGAGTGTTACGACTTTATGTTTGATAGATGTTTAATGTGCTACAATTCTGGCGTCGACATTCAAATGGATGGCTTTCCATTGAAGATGGTACTTTCTAATGCGTGACCGGGGGTGGGGGTAACCTATCTTCTACGTCGTTGGTAGACCCCCTTGCTGTTATCGCTCACCCGTTATTCTCGTCAAAAATGTGCCATCACGTGCCATCACGTGCCATCACTCAGAGCGAGACTATCACGAAGACTACCGTATTAGAATGAGCATAAGGCACACTCAGTAAGTTGTGATTCGAATCTGACACCCTGGCCTTAACTTTTGCAGTAAACTGAGACCTGCGAATGCGGTTGTTTTAATACGCCATTGTTGATCAAGGCCTAAGGCAAAGCCAAAGCTGAAGGGGAAGATATCAAGCTTGTCAGGCACATGGCCGAAGTTGCATGTGCCTTGCCAAACAGCGTTAGAACTGCGAGGCTTTTACCATGAACATCTGCATGCCTGTGCCGTCAATGACCTCATGTTATCTGCATGACCTCACTTGGTGCACTGCGCCAGCTGTGTCTGTGAAGTTTCATTGGGCAAAAGAATGCACATTGAGACGTGGTATGAACATCGATTGGCCAATCTGGCCATGTAAGTACCGTCGTCGGGTCCTCAACCCACGCACCCACCATAATGTAAGGCAGGTACAGTACGCCGTCGATACTATCGTTGGATGTTAACATGTACGCCTTTGAATATATATTCTTTCATTCCCATTTGCCTCGGAATCAAAGCTCAATGATCCAGGATATCGAGTTAGATTTCACAAGTCAAAATCCCCCCCCCCCCCCCCCCCCCCCCCCTTGAACCCAAACTTGTATCGTTGATACTGGCTATATACCTCTTTATCTCAGACAGTATCTCGGCGCTAAACATGGGTGCTTCAGCCGAGGTCGTTGTTGCTGTTATAACTTTACTGGCCGCTTTGCCCACGACTGTTCTGGTCTTCCTCACATGCTTCAAGCGTCTAAAACGAAGGGCTCTCGTCAAAAGAGACTTGATCCGTAGACCAGTACGCATACTGCCACTGCATTCATCTGACGGTTACTTATTATCCATCTCACAGCATCATTGCCTTGCAACCTTCAACCCCTCTTGGAGATCACGAGCTTCAGCCCAAACAAATCTTCGTCAAGGGTTCGTTCTTCGTCAAACAGCATCACATCGAGATGAAACCACATTCGCCGCATACATCCAAAGCTATACTGAGGCAAGTTCAACAATCACGGGGGCTCAGTGTATGCTTGATATTTACTCATCCAAAACACAGCATACCAGCGGGAGCTTTCTTTACTACAATGACATAGACGTCCAAGGAGTATAGAAACGAAATTAGACCTCCCGAAACAGTCCATTTTTCTGATTTTGGCGTTGTAATTGATTTGTCGAAGAAGAGCTGTCGTCCATTGCGTTAAGGCAGAAGCAAGCTAGCGAAATCTATAAGACAATTATCGTGACTTCTATCGCGAATCACAAATCGCGAGGACGAAAAGCCCAGCTCGGATTCATGATTTAATCAGATGCTTGAGACCACCTCCTATAATAACGATACATCAGGAGACCTCGCTCTGCAAATACCATGTTCCCCACGTTTCCTTTTTTCAGTTTATCTGGGTCCAGGTCGGGCTCATTTGCTCGCCAAAATACTGAGTAGTATGTTGAGGAACATAAGAGCAAAGCTTCCCTCACCTGGATTGGTGAATGACAGGTCAAGGTACAAGTGAGACTATCATCTTCCTCTGTAACGTGCTACGCTTACACGGCATGGAACGGAGTTTCGGTCCCGCACGCCCTCCCCTCGAAAGCTACACCGTCGCCTGGACTGTGTTTGCTGACTGGATTGGTTAATCGTTTTAGTTAGGTTTCAGTTACACGGGATATAGGGGTGAATTCTAGCCCCGTCTGGGGATGACAGCCTCGAGCCCCGTGGAACTTCAAAAGGAGGCACCATATGCCAAAGACTATTAAGTAGCAGCCATGCTTCTATAAGAGAGCTGTGACTCTGGGCTTTCTATCCCTGAAACAATCTCTTCCCATCTCATCTAAAGACTTCAACCTTTACTCTGTCGAAGAGTTTACCTCAATTGCATTTTAACAAACCCCCAGCACTCACGAACCTTCGACTACCAAAATTTAACGTCACACCTTTTTCTCTCAAGCGTCTTCACTGTCATGAAAGCTTCCCCTGAGTTCATCGTCGCTCTCGTGACACTGATGGCAGCCCTTCCCCCGGCAATGCTGGTTATATTCAACTGTGCCAGGCGCCCACGGAGATTAGGGAGTTCTCTGAGGACTTCAACTGCGGAGGTGACAGCTCACACTATTTGGGCGTGGCCAAGTAGATGTCGATTCTCCAATAAATGTCCCCTGACTGACTTCAAACTTGCTAGGAACAATACGTACCCTTGCACAACTTGGTTGCAAGTGAGAACATCAACGTAACTCTTAACTACCAAGCCTACCGAAGTGTTCATTCCAACAAGAAGTCTAGCGCCACTGGCTTTCCCGTTGTGACATCATGTTAGCTTCAATCTACATGAAGTCAGTAACTACTTCGTGCTCTAAAATGCCCTTCTTTGCTAACCGTTGACAGGGAATCAATTGTACGGTGTACCAGAGTGTTGTGACCACAAAGTAAGGAGTTATGGCAGAGAAGGGGACTGGTGGATGGAGTTCATAACTGGAGGAAGTGAAGCATCGTTGCCTAAAGTTGCTGATTGCGAATGCACCTATAGGGCTTTCAGGAGAGGTGAGGTTAGAGACGTTACTTGTTCGTACTCGGAAGATACCATACACGGTAAAGCTATCGAGAGAGACGTCGTATTTTGCTCGGCCATTTGAAATAATCCGCCTTACATTCAAGAGTATTTAAAGTAACCACCTAGTGCAACTAGAATGTAGACTCAAAGCCTCACTGGGCTCCTCCACTTGCCACCATTGGGAAACATGTTGAAACCATGTACACGTCTGACAGAGCGACTCATCAACAGCGTATCAAATGTCATAAAAGTCACGCTCAAGAACTGCTCGCGAAACGGAATCACCGAAGTATTATTTACGGTTATTGCAGAATAAGGCACGTCCGACGTCTCCGAACTTAATGGCCGTTTGCGACGGAAAAGTCAGTCTTGATGCACCATGCAGCCCGACTGAGCCTGCTTATCATCCCAATCTTTACCTGATAAAAGTTGCGCAATTTCCCAGTTAGGTGTATCATACACAGTCCACATTCTTTAGACTCTCATTGGCTGACATGTGTGAGTCGTATCTCAGATGCAAGAATACGCAGGCTGCAATATGCACTTAATGATTCGTTGAGGACCCTTGATATAAACCGTGACACGCTGCAGCCTTGGCCGAAACAGGTGCTTGGTCTGACATACAGGGCCCTGGAGGCCCGAATGATCAGGAAAGGTCGTGTTCGTAGCAGAACGAGCGCGACATTTGACGCGCATTAACCAAATTGAATGGGGTATTCGTCTTCACGTCCCTCCAACGAGGGGATGATTCATAATATGTAAACCCCGTATAGCTCCTCTGTGTACGCGTTCTGTTCGTGTTTATCATTCAGGATCGCAATGTCAATGGCACGGATTTATTCCGAAGAACTTCTCACTCTTCGATATCTTTCCATAGAAAACATCCTTACGTCGCGAAGAATAACTCGGTAACTAGGCAGTCCCGATGGGAGTATCTTCCAAGTTCTCGCCCGAGTTTTTCGTTGGTCTCCTGGCCTTACTCGCGGCCCTTCCTACTATGATTCTTGTCCTGGTCAACTGCGTCGCTCGACTTAGAAGAAAAGATCAGACAGGAACCCAAAGACACCCAAGCCAGAAACTTGTACCTGATAAGGCTCCTTTTATTTAGTATCGAGACCCATATTGAGGACTGTACAGTACTAGCGCCCAGCATACAACCTGAGTGTGTCCCACAAGCATAATTTGACCCTGAGTTCCATCGGTCTTTTGGAACATACCCTTTTCCAAGAATTAAATATACGACAACTCAAAACATGGAAAACTGTGAGGTTCAACAGTTGGGACCAAGACAGTTTGCTGGTTTGTATTTGTCAACCTTTGTTTTGAAATCCCTTGCTGACCATTATTGTTTCAAGCATCATGAGAAGCGTTGATGGATGCCAGGGTAACAGGCCACAACAAGCCTCAGGTTCAAAATATGGTCGTTCTTTCGCATGGAAGAGGAACTGCTGGTATATGAGGGCCAAGATCTTCAATACTAATGGTGTCTGCAGTTTGGGCTAGGAGTCCGCAATAACTAGTGCTATCTAATACCACTTGACCTGTGTAATTATTCAGAGAATCTCTTGGCTATAAGATACAGAAATAACTTCGGTAAGTGCTTCGAGCTCAAAAGCATGATGCTAGTGTCAGTTGACTGACCAATACACGTGTGGCATTGCTTACTAGGGACATGCACTTACTCTCAGCCATATCCGGTGAACGATTTCTTAAGCTTAGGAGAATTTATCTAAGATACCCAGGCCTACAGCAAAACTTTCAATACTACATTGCTATTGCGACAATTTTGAAGATGCAAAAGTTATTAAAGCGCTGATACGAACGATCTATCTCGACGAATGCCCATTGCGAAGTCAAATCCTGACGAAATCATCGACGAAGCCAGTGCTCTAAACAATCGTTACCTTGAAGACTGGTTCCGCAGGTAAGTCTATTATCATCACCTTTGCTTGAGTGTTGACGCCAACTAAATGGCCGTAGAACAATAAAATCATTGTGCATGTGCACCGCCCGGGAGGTCGGGGACGGCGCGGGGCGCGATAAAATCACGCGCCCACGGAGAAACTTGGAAGTGGATGCTTGCAACTCGACCAGGGACACGAATATGGGGTAAACATGGCGACCAGGTTCGTAAAATACAGGACCTCCGCAGTACCGCACTCAAGCCGCTGACAAGTGACCGGATGAACCCCACAGATTAAGGTAACAACGGCGTATTGCCTCCCCATGGGCGGCTTTTAACCCCGCCATCCCACACCAAATCGGCGCCCTCGTCTTTGGCGCGCCAATCCTGTAACCACTTCAAGCAAGTACCGGTAGTCAACGTCAATATCAGGTGGCCACCGCCCGTTAGCCTGGTCTTGGCCTCTCCGCATTCTAATTGTTGTCTTTCCCGAGGCGATTGCCAGAAACGCATGATTGCTGGGGTCCGCGTACGGAGTCGCTCCGGATCGTCCTTGTTGTCTGTCTTGACTCGGGTGAAAGCGCTCCAGTTACATTGCGTGAATGAGACAGTCCACCAGGAACAATACCCTAGCCATTCCACATGCCACTTCAGTCGCGCATCCGATCGGCTCAGGGGTAGGGACGGCTCGGACGCCTGATGATGTCGACAGTTTTATTGCCATTGCATGTCTGCTTGCTCTGCGAGTATAAAGCCGCCTTAGATCTCTCTCAATTGTCATGTAGCATTCAGCACCAGCATCTCAGTTTTCAGAGGCGGGTCTTCCTTGAGACACAGCAGCCATGTACCTGTCTAAGATCGTCTCTGCTTCGCTCGGTCTCTTTGGCCTCTTCGGCTCAGCCGCCGCCTACACCAACCCAATCCGTAACCCTGGCGGCGGTGATCCCCAGATCTCGTGGTTCGACGGCTACTACTACCTGATCTCGACCGAGTGGACGAACCTCCAGCTCGCCAGAGCCACGACCATCGAGGGACTCAAGACTGCCACCCCGAAGGTCATTTACTCTGACTCCAACCCCACGCGATGCTGTAGCGTCTGGGCTCCTGAGATCCACTACTTTGACGGAAGGTGGTATCTCTACTACACTGCCGGCAACGATGGCAACTTAGATGGCCAAAGAATGCATGCTCTGCAGGGTAGGTTTTGACCCATTACGTCCAAAAAGCTCTTCAAAGCTGACAAACATATCTACAGGTGGCGCATCTCCCTGGGATGACTGGTCTTATGCTGGCCAAATCACTGATGATTGGTCCCTCGACGGCACTGTTGTCCGATTCAATGACTGGGGCAACTACTTCGTCTACTCCTGCATGACCGGCGTTGAGCACCAATCCGCGTGCGTGCGCAAGCTCGGTGATGACTACGTCTCTGCTGGCTCCGACATCACCATCATTTCTCAGCCCGACCAGGCTTGGGAGCAGAGTGAAGTCCCCGTCCAAGAGGGCTTCTACGGCCTCTACTTTGGTGGAAAGACCTACATCGCCTACTCTGCCAACTACTGCTGGACTCCGGACTACTGCGTTGCTCTGCTCGAGTGGGATGGCGTCACGGATCCGGCGTCGCCCTCGGCATGGACGAAGAGCAATGGATGTCAGTTGACTGCCGCTAATGGAAACTTTGGCACTGGCCACAACAGCTTCTTCCGCAGCCCCGATGAGACCGAGACCTACATCACTTTCCATGCAACCAGCAACGCCAACGGCGCGTGTGATGACAACCGCTACGTCATGGTCCAGCCCATCACTGCCAATGCTGATGGAACGCCCAACTTCGGTATCCCTCAGGCGTCTACCTACGATTGGCCTGAGCCCAGCGCCTAACATGGGTGGACGTACAGATTGGAGAGACAAGTCAAAGGTGAATAGCGGATGCATCTCGTATAGATAATGATGAATGAAACCTAAATGAACAATACATTTCAGAGCGGATCTATGATACCACTAGAGTTCTGTGAATGTCTGTCAAGTCTTGCTTTCCCAGTAGATGAGCTTACAGATTACGATATTATCTCGGTTGTCTGTCTTGTTTTCGTGGTCTGTTTGCGCTCGGAATCGTAAGAAGTATCTTCAGGACACTGAAATGAGCCTGGCAAAGTTGTGTCCAGTCCCATGCCTGCTGTTCAGTTCGTGGCATAGGTCAATCCCTCAGCTACTTAGCGACTAGGAGAACCCCATTTCGACATCCCTCATGTTCGTAAGGGTACATACGCAGTGTTCATGCTGATCGACAGACGTCAGTTGGTTACCTTAAATATGGAAGTATCAATTAAAGGATCGGGGTGTACTAAACAAACCGTGTGGTGTAGAACAAGAGAGCTTCTCTCTGTCGCGCTTGAACTGGTTTGCTGATGAACCATCTGTAGGTCTTTAAGACAATATCCCTCCCTTTGAATTGCATGGAGTCGGTCTGACTGATGACGAATAAACTTATACTGCCAGATTGGGTGCGATTTGTACTTTTGGAGAATATACCGTCTTGAAATCCGCTTGTCTTGTGGTGTAAGTGCCCCTTTGAGGCAGGCGATGTCTGCGGTAACCCTTGATGCATCGGAATATGACCACAATCGCGGACGGCACGGAGATAATCAAGGTTGCCGAAGCAACGATTACTTCAGGCGATGATGACATTGCTTTTGACAAGTGACGTGTTTTGAGTGGGATGATGATACGAAGGAGAGCCATGGCTTCCTTTAAGGAAATCTTCCTTCTAATATCAACATCTCCTTCCATTCCTCTTTTTCAGAAAAGAATGGAATCGTCATTGGCGTGCTTTCACGTTTGCCAGAATGGACATCCTACAGAAGAAACAACTTTAAGGCTGTGTCTCCCGACTTGGGTGAGACATACATGACAAGGGCGGATGCCTTCCGCTGGTTGGAGTTTACCGCCATCTTGGAAATGCACGTCGCCGCTTCGAGCACGATTCTAATTTGACACAGAGGGGTGAGAGCTACGATTGGAAGATCGACATATGCAGGGAGACAGCCGCGAGACGCTCAGAAGAGAAATGGATGTCATAGACAGGAATATTACTTCAAAGGCGGTGCTAGAGGCTGACGTACGCAGTTTTGCTACACTGGTATGGCCAGACTTTTCTGATCATACAGCGCGATGGAGCCAGCCTGAAGGACTTGGAACTTCAATTTCTCCAGGCAGTGGATGATTGCGGCAGAGACGTGAAACTGAACCTTACGCGTTATCTAATGTAATGTGATGTACTCTAACGAGTATTTTTACTCCGTTTTCAAATATGTACGTTGTTGTCTGGCCCATCCGAAGGTTGAGTTGACAGTGCAACGCGACGTAGCATCGGAGAACGCAACAGTAGTTTAACCAAACATTGTTGAACTTCAAGCCGCTTTCATAGACCTGAACTGTGCAAAAGCTGCTGCATCAGAAAGTCCACCAGAGGTTCAAGGCTCTCAACGTTCATGTGAAAAGTTTGCCTAGGCAGTGAGTGACATGTACGGAGTAAATTGGCGAAGTGCGGACTTAAATCTTGTCGCCGTACTCCGCCCGCTCGGAAGTATGCTGGGCACCCGTTGTCCGTTTTAAACTGGCAGTTGTCAATACTCGGCGCTAAAACAACCTTATATCTCTAGCGTCCGCCTTCTCAATATGATTCTCTCCCACACAGAAACATTGATCAACAACTACAATGTCCATTGGTTACCGAAGAAGGAAGCACACTCCCGTCATGAAGCAGTTCATCCTCGAGGATTCCCATGTGAGGACCGGATGACAGATAAAATGACGCCAATCGCACCGAGAATAGTGATGCGTCTGAAGATCGTCGGAAGAAACAACGTTTCGGTCACAGTTTCGGCAAGCGGGGGAAATGATCGCATTTAGAATCACGGACGGCAACTCTATTCGGGCGCTCGCTCCAAACAAGAAACCGTGAATGGCTCACAGAGCCGCAAAGTTTCATGCTTAAAACGTCCACGTCACGCAAGGAAATTTCCATACTTTAACAAGAAACCTGATCGCACAGGCCCGTTCGGAGCGCATGTGAAAACCACCATGGGCTCCAGTCCTTTTTCTCATCCTTCTTCCCATCTCGACGACGCCAGCTGATAGAGGGTCTGGGGAAATTTCAACCGTCAAGCTGATCTTATATTTCTCTTTTAGACCTTGAAGTGCCAAGGCCACTTTTGTGTTTATCGTTGCATAATATTCGGCTTCCAAGAAATTTGGTATTAGACGATCAAACGCAGCTCCAATGGGCCGTCATGCGACATTTTTCTCGGCCGCCTTCTTGGCCACGGGAGGCTTTTTGTTCGGATTCGATTCCGGCATTATCACGTCCACCATCGCACTCCAGACATTTAAAGACTACTTTCACCCATCTGATGCTATTGCTGGAGGAATAGTATCATCGTTCCAGGGAGGAGCGATCCTTGGGACGATAGTGAATATGCTATTTTCCGACTGGCTGGGACGGCGCAATACGGTGTTTCTTGGCTCAATCATATCTGGTCTGGGATCTGCACTCCAGGCCGGCTCTCGGAATCTGCTCACCCTCATCATCGGGCGGTTCATCGGCGGTGCTGCTGTCGGAATTCTCACATCGACCATCCCGATGTATGCTTCGGAACTATCGGAAGCCAAGCATCGGGGTAAACTCTCAGGTCTCCTGCAATGGATGCTGAGCTGGGGCTTCTTGGTAGCCCAGTGGTTGGGCTACGGGTGCTCGTTCGTGAAGACTGACTTTTCATGTGAGATCCGATGCTAACTTCGGTGTGATTACCTGCTGACTCACCCTAGGGCGCTTCCCTCTGGCGTTCCAATGCATCCCGGGTATCATCTTGGCACTTGGCATATACTTCCTTCAAGAGTCACCTCGCTGGCTTATGGAAAAGGGACGACCTGATGAGGCTCGGCAAGGATTGGACAAGTTACGCATTGGTGTAGATGAGAAGGTCGTTGAGGTTGAGTACAACGAAATCCGACTTGCTGTCCGTGAACAATCTGCCCTCAACAAAACCTGGAATCTATGGAAGGAAATTCTCACACGTCCTTCCTGGCGCAAGCGACTGCTCTTGGGTTGCGCTCTTCAAGCATTTTCTCCATTGTCTGGCATTAACGTCATCAACTATTTCGGCCCTCGCATATACGAACTTCTGGGCATTGGAACGCAGACATCACTGATGATCATCGGTATAAACGGCGCTCTTGGCATTATCTACAACTCCGTTGGTCTTTGGATGTTGGATCGCGTTGGGCGAGTTAGACCTCTCATCGTCTCTGCTCTCGGATTGGCGGCTGCCCTGCTGGTTAACGCGATCCAATTCCAGTACCTGGACAGGTCTAACGCGGATCAGTTGAGGAGTATGGTGGCCATGAATTTCGTGTTTGGCTTCTTCTTCACCCCGCTTGGCATCATCAGCTGGGTGTACCCTGCAGAAATTTTCCCTCTAGAAATTCGGGCTCTCGGCAATGCTCTCACCACCTTCACCAACTGGACCGTCAATTTAATTCTGGTCTCATTTTCACCACAAGCCCTCACGGCTATAGGATTCAAGTTTTTCTACGTCTTCTTCGTCTTCAACATGATAGCGGCGGTTTGTTATTATTTGTTTTATCCAGAAACACGAGGCAAGACTCTGGAGCAGATGGACGAGCTTTTCGGCGATGGTGTTCCGCCATTCAACCAACAGTCTGTTCCAGCTATTACAGAGTCTACTGATGAAGAGGCTCGGGGCGAAATCATTTCGGCTGGGGCTACAACACAACCCTTGAAAACAACCAAGCGTACGTACACACAATACAACACCTTTCATTTGGAGGGATAGAAGGGCGGGCTTCGGAGTTCGGGATACAAGGGACGTATTGTCAGACTCACGTAATCTAAAGCAGGTTCTCCAACGAAAGATTGAGAGACATGGTAGTGATAAACCAACATGAAATTTCCCAGAGTTTCTTCTGCGCTTAGAGCCTGAGACGTTGAACACTTTGTCACTGAATGATAAGAGTTAAAGCAATGGATGACAGAATATCTATGTGATCTTGACTGCTATTGGTTGCCCCTGTTGGTAGCAAACAAACCGACAATCGGTTGCCAACACCGCCGCGGTGTCAACAGGGCGGTGCCTTTTCTTGACTAGCTAAGCCACCAACCTCCCAGCCTGCTGTGCCGCTTGAGGCACACAAGCATAGGCATTCAGTCCTGCAAACTGGAATATAAATTGACGGGGGTTTTCCCATCATAAGGCATGGCGGTGTTGGTCTCCGCAAACAAATCTGACTCATCGATTGTCATCATAGTTGCTCGTTCCAACCATATTTGATTCCTTGCACATCCTACTCCGCCTTATCATCACGGCAATACATACGCTGATTATTGAGATGAATATCGAACACGAGAAAACAAAGACTCTAAGAATGGTTGCCAACTCGACAATGTTGAAAGGTAATTATGTCGCCTTGAAAGTTTATTGCAGGGTCTGACAAAAGCAGAGCCATCTGAGTACCAACAAGATCGTGCGCGGCTGCGTCGCGCGATTTGCCGGGCCATCTTCTGGCTGATCCTCAATCTCTTTTTTCTAGCAGGGCATATCTACATCCTGTACGGCATCTACTGCAGATACCAGAGTTGGAACCAATTGAGCAGTTCCGACAAGCGGTGGATTTTCCAGCCATTATTTACGTCGACTATAGTGCTTCTATATCTCGCAAACGCCATTTTCGATGTGGTGGATATCAGAGAGGAAATATTACGCCAAGCTTCAAAAGACCACTCGTAGAGAAGTGACCCCGTCACCTGATGGCGGCTTCAACATAGTCCAAGATGATTATTTGGTCACAATACCACGCAAACATCTGTCGAACCAGGGCCCCTGGACGCACCGTATGCCCAGCTTACGAACCTATGCCGGACTCCTGCTCCTGCCTTGCATTCAAAGGATGCCACCCCGGGAAGTTCAATCCATTATTGGCTATTGATGCCGTGCCGATTATCGTCCCACGCCACCTTAGAGGCTCGTTCGGACTTGGAGATGGGGCGAACCAATCACTATGTTGCACTAGCTTCGGAGATGACTTTTCGTCTGAAGAATCCCCTCGGGACCGGGAAGTCTCACGACAGAGACATTGGAGGCCCGTTCTCCATAGACGTCATTTACCTCCTCACATCGTTTTCTAGAAATATTCTGGAGTGCTTCAATTGATCCCTCGGCCGGAATCAAACCGACCATATCCTTGGCTATTCAGATCCCGTAATAGTGATTTTCTAACATCCCCGATGGCCATTCCAGAAGTCAACGCACCAAACGAAAGCCATCAGAATGGCGGACCTAAAGTCGCAATTGTTGGAGCGGGGTTGACGGGTCTGATCACGGCCCATGGCCTCAAGAAGGTGTGTCGCAGTGCCTATGCCATATTCTTTGATATTCTCGCGCTGATGATCGGCAGAATGGATTTGAGGTCACGGTCTTCGAGCGCGACGCGAGCATTGATGCGCGTCCCAGAGACTGGACGATTCTGATTCACTGGGGAATGTCGACTTTGACCGAGATGCTCCCCGACCACATAGTCAAGAACTTTCCAAAGGCTTATTGCAATCCTCACCTGCAATTCGATGATTGGGACGAGAGCGTCCTGGGGTACAACGCCCTTACTGGCGAGGTGTTGTTCCGGAACTCCACTCCCGGCGCCCGGCGAGTCAGCCGTCGTCGCTTCCGGGAGGTTCTGGCGGAGGACCTTGACATCCAGTGGGGTAAAGGTCTCAAAGCGCTGGACATCATCGACGACGACTGTGTGCGACTTTCTTTCAATGATAATTCAAACTTCGATGCAAACTATGTTCTGGGAACGGATGGTGCGTCGTCAAAAGTTCGGGAGTTCCTGGTGGACGCCGAAGTTGCCAAACCGGTGCCCTCCGGCTTCATGATCGCCAACTGCAATGTTAAGTACGGAGATGAACAGAAAGTCAATACGATCGTGAAGGCACACTCAGTGTTTGCCTCCATGCTTGGTTCTGGGGTTATGGCTGGTTGTGGTGGTATGTATCGCTTACCCTTATTTCCCGCCGGGGGATTTTAGCTAATTTTGCCTGTGACAGTCATGGCTGTAAACGATCCCAAAGACGTTGCCTCATGGGAGACGTTCTGGGTCAAAGTCTGGAAAGGAGAGCCCGTGACTCTAGCTGGACAGGAAGCAATTGACTTTGTCAAAAGTGACTTGGAGGGGTTTTGCGAGCCGTTCCGATCCGCGATAGAGTGGACACCGGACGGAAGTCTTTGCTACATTGACGAAATGAAGTATTGGCTGCCGTCAGCATGGCAAACTCATGACGGAAAAGTCACACTCGCAGGCGACGCAGCCCATCCGATGCTCCCATGTAAGCAAAACCACATCTGCTTCGCTGTTTTCCGTGCTGACTCTTTTTCAGTCCGAGGTCAAGGTCTTCAACATGCCATCATCGATTCCGACAAGTATGTTAAAGCCCTAATTCTGCTGAGGAAGACTGGCGACACGGCAATGAGAGAGGAAACCATGACATTGTACGGAGCTGATGTTGTTGCACGTGGCTGCACCGCGGTTGCGCAATCGCTCAGCGAGGCCGAGAAGGCAATGAACAAGGACACCGTCAGCAAGATGCTTATGGTTACTCAAGGACACGGCAGGTCTATTTGAGAAGGATGATGATCAGAGTACGGTCTAGGCGGGCGAGAATTATGTTCCACAGGAGTTCGTTTTGATACCAAAAAAAGAAGCGATAACAACTTGAGATCGCAAGGAACTGCCATCGAAAATTATGGGAATTGGATTTTGAGAATCATCACTCATTGAGATGAACAAGTGTCATTGGAATCACCTTCAGACGGCCATCTTGTCGACTTCGCATAGAAATCAAAGTGTATGCTCGAGGCAGCTGATTACAGGAGGGCGAGTATTGTAAGGTATAGTGCAACGTTCAGTCACAAGGTCGACTTCACTCGGGAGTTTTGTGCTTGGCACAGGTGCCTCACGAAGGCAAGAGGGCCCAGTCGCCAGCGATGGTAATGTACAAGATGCTTTGTTATATCTACACAGGAAGACAATGGTCAGAGGTCTCGAGGAAGCTGGCAGCGAAGCCTCGGATGCCAAAGACGAGAAGAAGATAATCAACGACGTGCTCTCAGCTACTTTGAACCAATTCAATGCTTAGCACTGCTTCTTGGATCCATCGGTGTAAAAGTAGTCCTCGTTGATCTTGATGGAGTCGGCGTGCCAGGTCTTGCCACCATCAGTGGTCTTGATACCGCTGGAGGAGCCGCCGGTAAGCTGAAGGGTGTCTCCGAAGTTAGAGTCGGCCTCGCTGAGAGTGACAGTAAGGTTGCTCCAGCCTGCAAGTATTTGTTTAGCAAAAGTCCACGACACGAGACATTTTCGAGGGTGGCTTACTGTAGGCGCCAAGGGTACCGCAGGCGCCGGAGTAGCACTCGTTGCTGGAGTAAATCCAGGTAGGAGCCTTGCCGTTCTTGTCCTCTGCAATTGGTGTTAGAATGAGGTATTTGTGTTAGCAAGAGAGGATCTTACTGTCGGTCTGCTGGGAGACGAGGGCACCGTTGATCCAGACCTTCTGGGTCACACCCTTGGAGGCATCATAGGTGACTGCAGGCATTTTAGTCTTCAATATGGCGCGGATCTGACACTGGAAGGTGGACTGACGCTCGAAGTCAACGTTGGACTTGTTGGGAATGGCGACGTAGCTCTGGGCAACCTGCTCAGCTATGCGAATGTTAGCAACTGTACTGTTAGGGAACCATGCAAGCTTGGTACAACTTACTTCCGGTGAAGGTGCTAGCAGCGACACACCAGGCGTCGTTGGCCGCAGGGCAGCCCCTATCAAAACATCGTCAGCTCGTCCAAGCATATTTGACTCGAAATGCGCCATCACTTACTCCTGAGCGTTGTTGGGCGCCCAGTTCAGCAGGGGCTGGAAGAGATCCGTGCTGTCGTCGCTCAAGGACTGGGAGATGCCAACCCAGATCGACATCCAAGGCTGGGCAGTCTTGTCTGCGACAACAGTTCCGCAGGGGATAGGAGGAGGGACCAGAGTGTAGGTGGCCTTGGCGATCGCGTTGCTGGCGGGGCCGAGGTTGAACATGTTGCCGAACTTCCAGTCATCGTACTTACCTCGCACAGCGAGGGCACCGGCGGCAGCAGCAAGAGAAGAGGAACGCATCTTGGCTTGGTTTCAAACAAACAAAAGAGTGAATAAAAAGTTGGTTGGTTATTGAAGCAATATCTTGAAAGAGAGTGAGCCAAGAAAGCCAAGACTGATGGTTGCACTCAAATGCTTATATTGTTTTCAGCGGCATGTTCTAACTACCTATTTCGACGATCCGTCTTACAGGCTGGGGCAATTTTCGCCGGCCATAAATTGAAGGGGTTGTTGCTGGGTTAAAGCGGGCTGTCGTTGCAAACAAACGACGCTCCTCGGCTAGGGGCCGAGTTGCGCTGATCGTTTAATTGGGTTCTGGATAAGACGGCACGTCCCAGGGCTGAGAGTTAACCCGCGAATCGAAGCTGTTGGCGTTCGATTCTTCGTTTTAGGGGGTGCCTTGTTCAGGAATCCGGCTAACTTGCCAGTTTAGCGTCCGGTTGCACGGTCGCATATCTATCTACGACTCGCTTCGGTCTCGTTATCACCTCACTGCGGCCTCTTGCGATCTCGTTCACGGGCTTCTCCAAGCGATTAAGATCTAGTCAGCTGAGGGCCGTCTTAACAAATAAGACTTCAGTCTTTCGCTGGATCGCCGGTTTGACGACCCTTGTACCATCGTCACTCTCAGTTGACATTATCGGTGAAATACTAGCCGGCCTCGTTCGATTCATCTATCATCCCACCGGGCCCATTTAACCAGATTCTCGGGGCGCTGAAAGAACCGGTGAATCTCTAATCTTCTTTTAGAATTCTGAAGGCCACTTTTAATCCCATTCGGTTCCATCCGTTCCATCGATCCCATCAAGTTGCCCCCCACTTCCCGCGGTCATCTCCCTTCTTGACACCAGCTCGGAAGCCAACCTGCGGTTTATTCCAACCTCCCCCTAAAGTGACCCTGCTATGTCGACTATTCGCTCTCATCAATGACTTCTCCCCAGGAACTTGCCTCTTTTCCGTACACGATGCTCTCCAATTTCTCCTTTAGCAATGGAACATGCGGCACTTTTCCCAAGGGCAAACGAATCGTGCGCCCGTCAAACATGATCTCAGCCACCGGCTGAACCCAGGCAGCAGTCCCAACCACGAAGACGGCCACAAGACTCTCGTCGTCGACCGCCCGGACAATATCAGACATGGTAATGTCACTTTCCAACACCTCGACTTTTTCAACACCCTCATTCGCAGGGCCACCGACGAACATCTTGCGCGACAGCTCGAGGATAGATCTGCGAGTTCCGCCTGCAAGAATAATCTTCCTTTCATCGAGCGGCGGTGTCACCATCTGAAGACCTCCCGTCGAGGTCCTCCAAATGACGAAGACGTTTGCGGATCCGGCTTCAGTAACCTGCCGATCCGGTCCAAAGAGCCAAAGAATCTGGTCATAGCCCAGTCGGCGAGCTTCGCCCTGAGCCTGAATGGTCGGACCATAGTTGGCAGCTACCTTGGCAGCTCCAGTGCCGCCTGGCCATGCTCGAACAGTTGACTCTGTACTAGCCAGCAACCGAATTCCGTTCTTCGCGTTGTCATCGTTCGGGGCTGTCGTAGGGTTGAGCCACGGCCAGTGAATGAGAAAGATATAGAGCAGCGCCTCCTCCGGGACCCTGAGACCAAGACTGCTGTCTGTCCCAATCAATGTCGGCCGGATGTACAACATGGAGCCGGTCTTGTCTCTGGGGAGCCACTTCGGTGCTTCAATCACGCAAAGCTTATGAATAAGTTTCAGCAACTCTTCGGGCTCGAAGCCCGGTAGTGAGATGCGCTCCGCTGATGAGAGCATGCGGCTGCAGTTATAGAGCGGGCGGTGCAGTCTAAGGCGGCCGTCAACTCCGCGGTAGACCTTCATTCCCTCGAAGCAGCCGGTGGCGTAGTGAATGACATTCGCCGAGGGCATCAGAGGTATCGGACCGTACGGGACGAGCTTCGGGTTCTCCCAGCCTTTTGCGGAAGTCCAAGAGACCGTAATCATATGGTCAGTAGTCGCCTTCAAGCTCGTGATCTCCGGGGATCCCGGCGCTGGAACCGGCTTTGGCTCCTTTGTCCATTGAATCTCGAGAGCTGATGCCTTCAACGTGGATGGCTTGGTGACCGTCATAGTTGCTGATGGCGTGAGGGCAAGTTCGAATTCCGAGAGGTATTCCGAAAATCGTGAAGAGAAAGCTCAAAGTACCATGCCAACTAGTGATCCTTAATGTGTCTACTGAGATATTTATCGTGGGTTTTGCGGCTGTTTGGTCTCGACGGTGGATCGGCGTTATCTTAAGGCGCATAGGGCGCAAGGCGCAGGGCGTTTTTGACTGGACATGTCCTCACCAACTTCTGCATCGTGATTGTCAACACGTGGGTCGATGGGCGCGGTTGACGTAAATATTGTCGTAGGTGGCGTGCAGCAGAGCGGGGAGAAGATAAGGTTGCAATGTTTGAGCAAACATGGATGCTACACGTTTTCGCCAGTAACAACGTGGTGGTGCGCGATGATGACTTGATCACATCCGGACAAATGACTAAAATGCCAGCATAACCCAGTATCGGCATCATTCATCTCGCGTGGCAGATGTACTGGCAGTGTGCTTGGCGGCTCCGTCGTCTGGCTGCCTGGCAAGCCTTCGCAACGACACAAATTGGTGGTTGTGTCTCCTCAATGGGATCTCCGCGTAAGCTCATCGTGCTCGTGTGATGTCAGGCACACATCATCCTCCAAAGCTCTCCCGTGTACACAACAATCATAATCAGCTCTATGTACACCCGTAATACTGCATCTGCAAAACTTCGTAAAGACTTCACCAGACTGAGTTTCGCCGCAACTTGAATGATGAGCCAACCCAATCAACATGGACTTTGTGGTATGTTAATCGAAGATGAAGTCTCTCTTTGCACTATAATCATTTCCACACATAGAATCACTACTATTCAATTTGAATTCGTCTTGCCAATGATATTCTACAGACTTGAACGATGTAGGAGCTTGACTGGTTGTAGACCACATTTTGAAACACATTCTTGATCGAAGCAGTTGATAATGACGTGGTCAACTCTGGACAACAGATAACGACGAAAAGAAAAGGAATAGAAGAACGAAACCAGTTCAGATATGAGACTTCAAGTCTCTGCCTGATCAGGTATAAGTGTCGGTGCGGAAAGGAAACACCTCCTTTACAAATTGAACCACAACTTAACCCATTTTCTAGCGAGATATAGGAGTGATGTTACAGGCCCTTAGAATTGTACCGGCAATACCGGTAATATGATTTCGTGTCTCACAAAGAAGCCACCCGGATTTTGCGCTGAGTGTGGTTGTTAGTCCTGAGAAAGTCCGGTGTATCCGGAGTGTCGGGAACTAGGAGAAAGCCCGACCCGGAGGGTTCCAACACGAAGAGGCTCGACAAGTGGGGGTGGATTCCACCGCAGCATGAACTGCAAAGGGAGTATTGCTAGGGGGTTGCAGCCTGAGTCGGATTCCGCATCAACTTGACAACTCCAAGTCGTGATTACCCAATGCTTGAAAAGCAGTTTCCAGTCTGATTTCTGCTCAAACTACGTACACCGAGCCAAATGTCTGAAAGTTTCTGGTAATTCCCTAATGAAGTTCCTCGTATCAAAGCGGGTGTGGGCGATCAACTCAGTACTTGTAAACAGTGGGATCGATCCAGAACCTTGCACCTGCGGACTGTTCCGACGCCTGATTCCGCCAGAACCTAGTGATCAAGGACCAGACTCCGAGCATACTCGCTCGCCAACGACAAGGCGTGAATGTTTCCAGCAACAGCACCACTGAAGTCTGGACTGAACACCGCCATTGTGGCTTTGCCGCAGTCGCCTTGGCAATATGGAGGAATTATTCCCGCAAATGAAGTGTGTCTCCATGGATGTTTGAGGCGAAAGTTTCTCCCTCACCAGACTGAGAGTCTTCGGCCTAGGCAATTGACAGACTTGCCAACTAAGAGCTCATACTTTGAATAAAGTCTTTGTACTGAAATAGCCTTTTCCCCCCGTATTCTCATACCGGCGGGATCCCGCAACATTGAAGGGGTAAATTAGGAGACCAATGACAGCTGCCATGACTCGGCTGCCACTGTGTTGAGAGCGTTCGCTTAAGCATCTGGGGGCATCCGCCGCAAAGATCGAGAGATGCACCCGGCGCACCCGTGCTGCCCTTTTATCATTTAGGTATGTTACACCGGCGCCCGAACATACATAGTAATAGCAGCATCTCAATTAAGACGCAACCGCAGCGTTCTCTCAATGATCAAAGCGATCGTTTGAAACGGGCAGAATTGCAAGCGCATTGGACGCTAGCTTGGCCCCCAAAGCAAGCGCAATACACACACACTTAAATCCAACGCAACCCAGGCAGACCGTAGCCGAGCCAAAGAAGAAAAATCGGGGAATTTTCGCCTCAATACCAAGAACTCGGGAGTGTTGAGTAAACTAAGAATCAACCTACGCAGTAAGCTTCAGGAGAACTTTCCGAGCATTTAGATTGTTTATGGGGAACCGAACGCTGTCAGCCGCCATGGGTTCGCGCTGGCAAGCCGCCCGTGTCAGAGAGTTGTGGAACCTGACCCCCCCTGGTAGGATCTTTTGACTAACAGGCCCAACGGCGCTTAAGCGAGGGTGGCACGGTACGGGAGAGGCGATGAGGCCATCGTCAGGTCTGGACGCAACGGGGCCTAGGCGAGGCCATCGTCATTTCAAGATGTGGGATTATGGGGGAATCGTATATTGGTATAATCTTGTTACATTCGTGACTTGAATCGCGGCTGACAACCGACCTTTGGGCCGTCTTTGCAACAATCGCAACACAATGGCAGAAACACCGTGAACAAGGCACTGTATTCGCCCTTCCAGAAGTAAGGTTGATTCCATCAATCACGAGATTTCAGTGTCTCTAGCCTAGGGGATGAAACCCGACTTCTCTTTTTGGCAGATCGATGCAAGGAGGAAAACCGCATGCGGAATAGGGCACGACGGGTGAAGGGGGCGGAATACGAAAAAACAACATGATTGGAGCGACTTGCGCGCCGTTTCATCGCAAATTACCTTCACTTTTCGGAAACACTGGGTGCGACCCCACGGCCCCCGGGGTGTTCAACACCGCCAACAGCCCAAACGACTTACACAGAGAGCCCCGTCTTCGGTCTTGGCCTCGCTCATCATCAACGAGCCCATCATAATCCTCCGGCACTTTTGGATCAATCCTTACTAGAAGGTCTTGGCGATGGAGGCGTCCGGTTGTGTTAAAAAGATGGCGGCTCCTCGAGCAACGTCAAGAGAAAGAAAGATCTCTTTGATCAGCAGGTCCTATCTCATCAACTCTTGGTATCGTCCGTCCTTTCATTGAGAAAAGCATAGTTCTTTTCCGCAGTCCATTCATTTTCGATCTCGTCCATTCTTTCCAATACTAACAAAGTACATTCACTTTCCACCAACTCACACCCATAAACCTCGTCCAAAATGGCCCGTTCCAACCAGCTTCTCCTCGCCGTCTTCCTGGCTCTCACCGGCGTCCAGGCCGCCCCCCAGCCTGCGCGCTTCGGCACCCCCGTCGTCGCCCGCGCCGCTGAGCCCGCCGAATTCTCTCCCCAGCCCTCGGCCGGCCCCGGCGGCAGCTCCTTCAAGGACTCGGCCCACTTCCGCGTGTACGGCGCCTCGGACGCCGACGCCACGACCGCCCTCGGCATGCTCGAGGGCGCCTACGAGTGCTTCGTCAACACCCTCGGCTGGCGCTCCTCCGGCCTGTCCTTCGACGACGCGACCGACGCCGGCCCCTGGTACAAGACCAACGTCTACTCCGTCAAGACGCTCGAGAGCGCCGCGGGCGTGATGCACTCCGAGCAGGCCTCCGGCGCCGCGTGGCTCGAGGTCGTCGACACCTACCTCACCAAGGCCGGCGTCACCGTCCACGAGTGGGGTCACGGCCTGCACTACCACCAGAACACCTGGGTCGACCAGGCCGCGACGGGCACCTGGTGGGAGACGGTCGCCAACTGGATCGCTGATACCTACCAGACGTCCGACCTCTGCGCCGCCGCCCGCGAGAAGCACAACCAGGAAGAGGGCCGCACCGAGTTCGAGGTCAACAAGGTCCTCGGCGACTCGTTCCAGGTCATCGTCGACGGCACCGTCGACTCGGGCAACTACTACCAGGCGTGGCCGTTCCTGACGTACCTCACCAACAACCCGGACAACATCGGCGGGCTCGGCAAGGACGCGCTGCACCAGATGATGAAGCAGTACAAGGAGGGCAGCAACGAGACGCCGCTGCACACGCTCAACCGCGTCGCGTCCAACAGCACCGCGGGCGAGATCGTCGGCGCCTACTGGGCCCGCATGGCCTACGTCGACATCGGCCACAAGCAGGCGCAGGACATCTTCCTCGCCGAGCAGTCGCGCATCAACTTCGCCAACGTCGACGGCTCCGGCTCCGAGTACAAGGTCAAGAGCGCCCGCGCGCCGCGCTACATGGGCTCCAACATCATGCCCCTCAAGGTCAGCGGCGACAAGGTCGAGGTCAAGGTCACCTCCTCGGGCGAGTACACGGCCACCCTGTCCCTCTTCAACGCGAGCACCAAGAAGGGCCGCTACGTCAAGCTCGCCAACGGCGCCGGCTCCGCGACCCTCGAGTCCGGCGAGGAGGCCAGCCTGGTGATTGCCAACACGCCCAAGGAGCCCATCCAGTACAGCGGCTTCGAGCTCGCCAACAGCGACGCTAACAAGGGCCTGGACTACTCCTTCACCCTGACCGGTGCCACCGTTGCCTAAATGGGGATTCCTGAGGATGTATGTTTTGTACTTTTGAGTAAATACTTCTTTTCTCTGTATACTGTCAGCCGCTGGATGCAGGCTTGTACATATTTCCAAGATACCAAGCATTGGAACATTGTTTCCGCAAGTTGAATATCTCTCATGTTCGTGACGCGTGAAGTGATGCTGCCTTGCTTCTTTGGCGAAGTTTTGATGTGTCTTTCAGAGTGGCTTGTGCTGTGAGCGTGGGCGGACTGTGGCTGGCAGATGCTAGGCTTTGCGAACCTAGAGTTTGGTTGCAGGAATTTGAGAATCCGCTGATTATTGAATACTTAAAGACAATGCAATGGCAGCCGCAGTACAAATGACGGGAGTCTTTGGCTGGGGCATCCCGCGGTCGGAACGATGATGAGAAGAATCTGTTGGCTGACCAACCCGACATAGTTGGCGAACATTGTACTTCTGAATACACAAAAGGGGGGTTTCGCTCGCAGCGGCAGCTCATGCAATCGGAAGATGGCGTAGAAAGCCGAGCAACACTTGTCGACTGCGTTTAATGGTCGTTAGACGCCGAGATATCTTGCTGATTCATGAGAGTTATCGCCGTTTGTTTGCAAGCAAGCAGACGTACAGAACAGGTTCGATAAGATATCCGAGGTGAAAGACAAACTCATGAACGAGCTTTGCGTGATCTTAATTTAGGATGGCGTAGAGCAAGTAGTACCAGCGCCCCCCAGCGCTGGAAATCATGATGTGGTAGGCCAGCGGGTAAGAATTTGGTAGCCTTTCAGGCCCCTGATACCGCAAATGACGTCCGAGAAAGCCATGCGCAGCAACTAGCAATGAATGGAGGCACGGCAGACAGGAATGCCAATAAGAGTCAGAACTTGCCACAGAGTCCCACGGTACTTCGAGATAGGTCCGTATTCGCCCTTAGGTCTCACCCGGCAGTTCAAGGCATGCAAATGAACACTATCTTTAACAAGAATGTAGCGACGTGACTGGCTACCGAGGTTCATTCTCACCTTAGCATGTAGCTGTGAATACTGGGACAACCTGATGGTGAGAATGCAATGATGCAGAAAGGTACCTGCACCCAATGCAGAATAGGTTGAATGAAGTCTGTCACTTGGGGGCGTGGTGGTTCTTAATCAGGCCATCATAACGTGCCGGAGTTGTCTGGAAACTACGTTTTGCAATGCGTTATGAATTGCGTGCTCGTTGTTTTCTTTTGACGTTTTTCTAGGCCCGTGGTACTTCCCTCATAGGACAAAGCAAATTGTTCTCTAAACGAGCGAACAAGATGGACTTGTGCAACCATAATTGTGTGGTGCCATTTCCAGTATTTGTGAATCATCTCAGATCTGCAAAGTATCAATCAATCTAACCAACTATCCAGGTGCTGTAGGCAGTTGTTCCTCCAACTACTACATCATACATGGCAAGTCACGAGTCTCTCGGTGAAGGCTTAATTCCCTGTTTCATCCAAGTATTCCTTGAAGACCGCTCTCCGATAGGAGCGCAACATATGTATTCGTTACACCTGGTGCAGTTGTTACCTCTGCATTGCCATAATAGTCAGTAGCTAGAGATATCAGCGGTGTTTCTTGATCAATGCTGACTGCAGGAAGACAACAATTACGTACCGATTGGTTTCCATTTGCCAACATTGGCAGCGGTATCATGCCCGGTGTTCACGGCCACCGCAATCCAGTCATCCCGATCAATGTCAGCTTGGCACAACGTGACGTTGGCCAAGTTGGCCAGGTCCACCCGGGCATGACATGTTTCGAGAACCTTGCGTGGCTGCCCAACTTCCATGACTACTTCTACCCAAGCATGATTCCTGAATGGCCGCCGGTCGGTATTCATTAAATCAAGCGGACCGTACCAAGGCACACCTGTATCACCCCAGAAGGGATTGTTGCATTTGATCTCCTCGTCAGGCACGCCCACCACTCGACCAAAGAGAGGACCTTCCGTTACATATCCGAACCAGTCTCCGCTATATGCCCACCTTGTTTCGAGAACCTGTTTGCAGAAAGAAAACACTTGGTCAATAACCATTGGTGCACGGCACGAGTGGCATCACTCTTGTCCCAAGTAATCGAGAGGATAAGGGAAAAATAGAGAAAAGGGAAGTGTACTCACAGCGGTCCCATTAGGGGGTGCTTGGTTGTCAGCCATGCCCAGCGCAGCACACCAGGCTTGATTGATGCCAGCAAGATCGTAGCAATTGATGGTATCATTCGCCGCTCCGAAGACAACTGTCATTTCCAGTATTCCTCCATGGCTAAGAAAGCCACAACTTGCCTTCCCTGCAATGTTGTCGTACGCGAGATGTGTGGGGAGGATAGTCCAGATGTTTTGAGCTATGTACTTTGCGGCTGCTTGCTTGTACTCGATGGTCGAATGTGTCTGGACATAGGTGGCAAGATCCATCACACTATTGCGAATGATCTCGAGACGATGAGCATAAGGGAAAGATTGGGAGAAGACGTCGTGAAGAGGGTCAACGAAGAAATAGGCTTCTAGAGGAACAGCGGGAGCATGGTCGACTGTCTGATTCGGAACTGGTGACAATCCGTCAGTCACGATGTCCACACGGTTTGGTACCATTAATGTCAGTATTGAGCCAAAAGCAACCCACCAGGAGACCCGACAGCATTGCAGCTAAGGATTGAAATTGTCCAATCGATTCCCGATTTGAATGGTCCCAAGATATTCCCATTCACAAGCCACTATCACATCGAAACTAATTCTATGGCAGCTAGAATTACCAGCAAACAAACGAAACCAGGATTGTTTGATGGGAACTATCTTGAGTTCTGCTAAGTCGATTGGGTTCCTGGAGAAATGGTAGCAAGACGGATATGCGGAAGCCTCGGCTGATCTTACTGCAGCAGGCGATGTGCAGCTGCAAAACCTTGGGAAATGGCTATACAAAGTATGGTCCCTTTGCCCAATCTTGAACCTGACCAGTGTTATTATTCTTCTCCAATTGTTCAATCACGGCTCAGTCGTTCTTTCCACTTTGCTCCAAATCCTCATCTTGAATCGCCATGACGTCTGACGAGGTCCCTGTACGGACGCCTGTGCAAGCTCCAACCTCCCAACGTGAGCTCGCTTTGCGGAAGTTCGTGGAGGTTGGTCTAAACCGAGCGCCAGAAGCTGGGAGTACACTCGCTGTGGGCACCGACTTGAGCCCCCGAAATTTGGTTTCAATGTGCCAGAATGCCCTCCCTGGCATCGCTGTGCAGCTCCGGGGATCGAATGCCGTATTTACACCTCTTGGTTTCCGGCAAACTCTAAATCTGACATTCGCTTCTACGGCGGCATCTGGAGCGCTCTCCTCTTCTGCAGCCTCCTCTGGGGGGAAGGAGCCTCTCTCGATGCGTCTTACAATTCTACAATGCCAGGATTACGCGAGTGCTGCCGAGGCGTTCAAAAGGCACGTCGGGGCTTTCCAAAGCAACTGGCATAACATCATGACCAGGACAGAGAAGGGGTTTGGAAACCACGCCTACCAAACGAAGACAAGCATCTTCCGGACTCGATGGACGACTTTTGTTGTTTTGGAGAACACCTTAAAGACCGCCAAAGCAGACGGTAAGTATTCATCTTGCTCGTTGCCAATTCAATGAGAAAATAAAATCGAAAATAACAGCAGAAGCTAACTCTTCCCTCCAACCAACGTCTAGAATCACCTACATTCCCCATTGATTTCAAGGCGCTCGCATCAGATCTCGATCAGACTTTTCTTTCACAACGCATGCCTATGGACATAGTCTCAAGGGTCAGCATCGACAAGGCTAACATACCGACAATTGTCGTTGGCCATGAAAGCGTATTGAAGTTCAGCTTCCAACCACACGCGCATATGGTCACGGATGTGCAAGTGAAGGACTCGAAAATAGTCATGTTTGGGGGAAGTATTACTCCTGCGAGGGAGCTGCGCCTCGTTGGTGTTGCTCCAGGGACTGCCAAAATTAGTATTCAGGTTGCCCACGAAACTTCTCTGCAGACAACATCACAGGACTTCATTATCAAAGTGGTGCAGAATGCGCCGGCTTCCGGGTAGAAGGTCAATTAGCCCTATGACAAGAATGATTATGGTCAATCCTTTCCTATAGAGACATTGTGAGCCTTGTCTCATGCCCTGTGCTTGCCATGTATGCATGCTTTCTGAGTCCCCTTGAAAGTAAGCTGAGACAGAGAGTGTCCGTTGCATGGCCGGCAGCCAAGTGTGAATGTTTTGTCTGCCTTCTTGCGGCATTAACGGATTATTATTCTTGGTAGAGATGATGTTACTCGTTGAATACGTCTTCCATTCCGCGCATACCTTAGGAACAATAGTCATTGGAACTCCATCGCTAATCGTGAAATTTCAACTATTAACAGTCAGGTTAAGACAAGAGAGACTTTTACACACACCCCCCGCCTGGTTAGAACCAAGAATAACTAGGGAGAAAAGGATCATAGCGTTCAGCGGCTGATATTCCGGCCTGGTGCTCTGCGAGTGGAAAACCCGGCCGCATGCAGAATGGGAACTACTGCGGGCATGCGGGGTAGCCCGCGGGACGTTGATGGCGGCCCGCTCGGCGAACCCAAATTGATGGGTCTAGAATGTGTCTCGGTACTTACAGAATCATCCGATATCCCATCGAGAGAGTGGACTACATTGCATACGAGGCGGAGATTTTGACCAGTAGGCAAAGACATACAACATTTTCTAGCCAATGCAAGTTTCGCGATCAATGGGATTTGGAGGAACTAGCGGCAATCCGCCGCAGTCCACTTGCACTCGGTGAAACACGACATCCCAACTGAGCGAGGGTGCTGACTTGTGTAAGCATCAGAGCATTCATTTGCTTGACCCTGGGCTAACGGATGTGGCTGGCTGACTTCAAAGCAAGTATCATCAGGCTGCAAACTTATCACACTGAACTCAATAATTGGCAGCTCAGCTTCTCATCAGCTCGCCACGACCAAAGGCAGCACCCAATGTGACAGCCCTTGGGGCCTAGTCATATTCTCAACAAATGCACACTCAACACGTCCAGTCAAGACCGGACATTGCGTGAGTTGATTCTTATCCATAGAACAGTAGGAATACATTCCAGCGGAGTTCGAAAGGCCGAGATCGTCAACTTGAAGCAAGTCACTTACGCGTTCGATTTTGTCTCAACATCAGGCCATGTTCGAAACGTTGAATTTGGTAGTGCGATCGCGAATGCAGATCTTTACAACGTAATTGGACGTAGGTATAACGGTGAGCCTTCTCAAATCAACAGAATCCATGTCCAAGTGGGATACAACGGGCCTAGAATAGGCGGTAAAGTCAAGTGAAAGACACATTCGACTAATCCCATAGGTAGAAGACCCCATTCGAAGTGAAGGCATCATCTAATTCTGGGCATGCGAAATGAATACCAAGATGTACAACATATTATCAGCGAGAACCACCTGGCTACGTAACGAAAGTCACACCACCCTCTTACAGGTTGTATCTATGTAGTAGCTGCCACATGTCTCAGTAAAAACATCCCTGTGCGTGATTCTGCCTCATCACATTGTGAAGAGTCTATTGCGTCACTATTAAGCCAATGAACAGCCGATGTAACTTTCTGGATGCCCTTCATTCAGATCAACTTCATGCAACAGGCTATGGAGCGCCAAGTACATTCCGAATACGGAGCGATGGTGTTGATGGATGGCAAGTCTGAGTTCAGCTCGCCTCTCACGGTCTGGATTGTCTGGCGGTACTTCCACATCCGTCGACCTGCGAACTTCTTGACAGCTTCAACGTCAATAGTGGGCGATGCTTGCAACCAACGAGGCGCTGCGTGCAATGTGATCACATCGTCGAGCCCAGCCTGACCACAATCATTGAGCTCAACGAAGGCACGTTCACTCGTAAGACCAATACGGCCTTGTAATATTGAAATCCCGAGCCGCCTATAAGAAGGCGATGGGCTCTACCTCGTTTCACCACAGTCTCTCTCAACCTCCAACAACAAACAGAATACTTTACACAATCCAAGTCAAAGATCAGATATCGCCCGTTCAACCATGTCTTCTCAGTACACCCTGACTGTTAACGTTGACCCGAAGTGGGTCTCGGCCTGGTCCAAGATCCCCGGAATGAAGCTCTGCTTTGCCACGGCCGTCGGTTCAGGTAGCAGCGCGACCTTCTCCAACGTCGTTGCGTACACGCACAGTATGCTCGCTACACCCTCCATCGCTAGCCTTAGACAAAACTGATAAAACAAAACCACAGACATTGCGCCTAATGTTACTATCCAGTGGGGAAACAACTATCGCATTGCCGGTAGCACCAACAACTTTTCCAATGGAGGTCAGTTGAAAATCATTATTCCGTCCGCAACGAGACCGCTCGCTAAGAACCCAGCTCCATACAGCGAAGTTCACTGCCTCTACTGACAAGATTGCCGTCAAATTTGGCAGCAAGACGGAGGTTAAGAAGGACTGGTCCATCTCCACCAACCCCGACGACGGCGCGCCTGATGCGGGCTTCTTGTTCACCAATCAGATCGAAGTTGCAGCAGTCCTTTACCGGGAGATACAGGGTGAATACAAGGCCATCTACATCAGCCACGTCGGGCCCATGCCCAAGAACTCCAAGGAGAAGCTCACTCCCAAGCAAAAGGTCTACGTCTGGTTTTCTGACAGCTATGAGGATGAAACCATGATCGACGACTTTTCTGGAGACCTGAAGGAGATCGTGTATGAGGGAAAGACATCAGCCACTGTCAAGTTTGACGGCGGCGGCACCTGGTTTGACATGTAAACAGCAGTGTGCTGGAGGATTCAAGTGGAAGTAGCTTACCATTGGTGGCCAGCCGCTGCTGTTGAATCGGCCACCTCCTCCCGTGCCCCGCTCAGACCCTACACCCAGGGACCGCAAGTCAAACTAGCTAGGTACTCAGGCGACAGATCAATCAATATTGTGGATCCCGTGTTTATGTCTTGACGTCCGGAACTGGAATGTGACATCAAATTATTGTCGTTGCAAGTGGTGGTGGTGGTGGTGTGTGGTAGTGTGTTGGGGAGTGGAGGTTCTGTTCTGAAGCCGGCCAGGCGGATTGAATCTATTCTTGGCTATAGATCATTGGAATTTCGAGACCAGCGCTTCTGTGACGTAACAAATTAGGAAATTTGGGCGACTAGTGGCGCAGCTGAAATCATTTGCCGGCTGCGGCCCTACAATGATGCATTTAACGGGGTGTCGTAATCTCCCTGATTTAAGATCGAATGCCCTTGTGCTTTGCGGGTTTCTCTCTTTCGTTTCCTCATACTCAGTGTTGCGCACCATGACGACCTACACCGTAACTGTAATCCTTGACGCGAAATGGGTCCGCCAATTCCGGAATGGGAAGATGAATCTCTGCACCGCCTTCGGCGTCACCTCTAACTACAGCAAGGTGTCGTATAACGTCATTGCCACCCACGAAGGTATTTAATCAGTCACTCCTTTGCCATATGAAAAGTGGCCCAAAATGCTTGAGACAGATCTAATGCGATACCTTCGTCTTCAGACCCTGTACCATTGAACACCGTGTCATGGAACGATGACTATAAGATTGCAGCTTGCAAAACTGGTTTCGCCGAAGGCGGTATGTATCCTTCTCCTCACTCAAGAATTCGGACCAGATAAAAGAACTTGTAAGAGACTGACGGCTGACATCGTTGCGTGCATAGCCTACGTCTCGCCTAGCATATACCCCCTTCCTATCAAGTTTGGCCAAGCCGTATCACTATTCAAAGACTGGACCATAGAAACACCAAATCCCAGTGAAAGTGCCCCTTCAAATGGATGGCTTTTCATCAACAAACCCTCCGCCTCTGCGCTAGTCTTCAAAACTATTCATAACCGCTCAACGCCCATCTACGTTACGTCCGCTGAGAGTACACCACCACCTGGACAGCACACTCTCACCCCTAGCGGCCGGGTTCTGCTGTTCTTTGCAGATGCCGAGGCGCGAACCTCATTCAATGTGAACGCTACTAATACAAGCACGTATGAATACTCATATATCGAACACCCGCAAGTGACAGTATTCTTCAACACACAGGGCGACTGGGAAATGGTTAGTGAGAGCAGCTCTGATGCTGTTGCTGACGACGCCATGAGCATTATATCTCAGCGACACGATCATAGACCTCCTACAATGTCTGATGTTAAACCGCGTCTATGAGTTCAAGTAATGTGTGAGATATTCAGAAAGGAGGCTGGAGGTCCATTGAAAAACGCAAACTAGATGCTCATTTGATCACTTAAGAGTTCTTTATTGACGCCGGAGTTAAGGTACTTTCTGTGTCAAGCGGATCATGCATAGTGAAAAGGGCCAAGTTGCGCGGAAGAATGTCGAGTAATACTAGATTATATGTCCCGGAAATACTCATATGCATCATCTCAAATCGTCAGCTTGTTTAACCCTTCACTACCGGACTCCAGGATTCGTACTTACCTTCGCACCATTGCTGTGATGAGCTCGCCATACACCACATCAATGAATAGCTATTCTACCTGCCTTCGACCCCATTTGCCACAAGTCAAGAAATAAGTCAAAAGTAACTAATGAAGAACTAAAGGACAAAAAGGAAACAGATAGAGAAACTTTTGAATAATCACAAACACTTACTGCAGAGAGCATTACCCAGTCGCCACGGATTTTAGTATCTATCACCACTTTTTGGCCTGACCAAGGCAGAGCAACAGGGAAAACTTGTCCGCTGAACGAATTTGCTCGAGATTCCTTCAGCCGCTTCATCCGCGGTACATTCCGAAACGGCGAGACCCTACAAAAATAGTCAACGGTGCTATATAAAAATTGGAGACGGTTTCTTTCGCTACGAACTATCGTTCTCCGTATGCCGTATTAGTGCCCATTGCTTTCTGCGCTCCTTCTCCAGCTCAGAGGCGTCACATAACCCCCTCCACCATAGACGCCTAAGTGCTAATGGGCCACCCGAGCAAAAGCATGATCAGGTCAATGCAATCTAGAAGTATTGTCTTCTGGCTCCCATGCCATGAGCCCGTTTTATGGTGTGTCTCCTTCCCCTAGGTTATCTCTGCCCATATCATATATCATCATAACGCGCAAAATAAGTTATTCCAAAATCACTCCAAGACGTTCCAACTATCGCTCAGCATCTCATTACAAACCCTGAAGCATCAAAAATGTCCATAAGGCAAGCAAGGACTCTACATATATTATGTCTATTAAATGTATTTTTGAGCTAAATAGGTACGCGGCGGCCAGTCTAAGAATGAACCCGTATTTCGCGAGGTGGTTCTTAAGTCCTAGAAGGAACTCTCATACAATACAGCTCCACATAGGAAGGGTGAAAGGAAAGATACAGTTCAATATGAGAACAGAATATTAGTAAATGTTGGCTACGTTACCTGCGGTACTTCTATTCCAAGGTGACTCCCCAATATGCAGACAGCTCCGGCTGCGATAAAGGATCAGTCTGGGATGACACTAACATGAAGCGATAAGATCTCCATGTCGCACTTCCAGATAAGGCCGAGCAAGTATATTAAATGGCTCGTTAAGTATCACCTCAGCTAGAATGCGCGAGAACGGAGAAAGCGCACATGATCGAGCATGCGGGCCACGATGGTATTAAATATCAAGGCGAATTTCTCAAAAGGGCTGATCTGAACGTCATAGGCCTACGCAAAAACGTGACTCCTTTCGATAGAGACAGCGGGTAAGTCGCGGTCGACTTTGAACGTTCATTGTGTCTTGAGCCCCCCGGCAATTTGATTTTGGGGGATCTCACACGCCTGAAGTGCTTCTCCTATGTACCTATCACTGCCTCTGGGAATATGGACTCGGCGTTCTTTTGTGGCCGGCGTGCGTGTGAGTACGTAGACTAATTCACTTGGAGTCCCATGGAACCAATAGAATGAACGGTAGATGCAGGTGGAAATGAACCTTGGCAAAAGAATATTTTAGTCTGATACGTTTCTCTAGAACAACTATTATTATTCCTCCAGAATTACACTCTGTCAATATCTCTTAATGTTCGTGGCGTGTGAGTTGATGCTTCCTTTTACTTTAGTGTCGGTTTGACATATTTTTGACAGTGGTTCATGCCATGACCAGATCGCAGTTGTGAAGGGGACTGTAGCTGGGAGATGCCTATCGTCGTCATTCTAGACTTCGCCCATGAGAGATTGAGAGCCGGCAAAGTATTCGATTGCGGAGGATAATGCAATCGTAACCGCAGCACAAAAGACGAGGGCCTTCGGTCGAGGCATCCAGCTGGCAAGCGCTTGCCTCGCCCGCTTTCCCAAAATTGGAATCAGAGTTCCCTGACCCAAGTTGCCCTTGATGAGTCCCAAGATCTTCAGCTGCAAAAATGACAATCGGAGGAGATAGACACAGTACATCACGATGCCTCCCATGTAGTCGGGGCTTGTCTTCTTCATCCCTGCCGTAAAAAAGACGATGGGCAGAATCCGTAGCAAGACCATCCCAACAACGTTGGCGAGCATCGCCCTTCTGAAAGTCAAAGAGGAACCCGCATGGCGCCCATGCAGCCTCAAGAGCGCAACGTTATCAGAGAACAGCTCGGTTATCAGGCCCGCGTAGATCAGGTATATTGGCCGCCGCGGCATGCTCCGCACGAGAACGAGAAGCAGAGAAGCCAGAGAAAGGACATGATGAGTGACGTATTCGGGGGAGAAGGCGAGCAGTGGCAGCTCAGAGACCCAGAGGATCCCGCGGGAAGCTAGGCAGACCTTGCCTTTTGTGGTGAAGGGTCGTTGAACGCCGAAGATATCTGATTCTCGAGGCGTATTGCCGTATGCGTACAAGCATATCGGGGCGGAGACGAGGGTAAACAGGATGCCGAGGGGAAAGACGAAGTAAGGGGCAAGTTTGGAAGATCGATCTTTTTCTAGGGTTGCGTAGAATGAAGGGTTATAATGCTTGACGATGTAATGCAGCAGACGATTTGATAGTTGGTAGCCTGCTAGGCCCATGAGAATGTAAGTGAGGTCCGAGGGAGACATGCTCGGCGATGAGTGATAGATAGAGAGACGGCAGATAGTCTGGGCATGCCGGCGGAAACCAGGTCATGGACATAGCATTCCACGGTACTTTAAAACAGGTTGGCACTTGCCCTTTGGTCTTACTCGGCAGTTCGAAGCATGCATTGAGGACTATTCTAGGGAATGTCTTGGATGTCAGTTTGCCAGTCTTGACGGGAACGCGGCCGAATAGGACGCTTTGTGAAATCTTTTCTCACATAAGCACGGAGATGTATTCGTCAATATCGGGACAAGCTGACGGCGAGTATGCAGTAATGCAGGAGAGTCTGCGTTTAGTGCAGACCGGGTTGGGGGTGGTCACTTGTGAGCGTGGGGGTTCAGAAGCAGGTTATCACTACGTGTGGCAGGTTACTCTGGTAACGATGCATTGTGATGCAGCACTTGCTCGTCATCGTCTTCGGTCATTGTCATCGACTCTGCGGCTTGAACTGTAAGGCGTTGAAGGGCGGTTTGACTTGGTCTCTGGCCCTGCAGCGTCGCCAGCGTCGTGTCAATCGTCCGGCCGGTCACCGGGTGGAGCGGAGCATTTGCGATGACATGTCCGGAATCTCGGAGGACAAGAATTCGCCGTGACGGAAGGGCTTGCCTGGCGAATCTTGGCCGCGGGTTGGTCGGCCCATGCAATCTCGGAAGATGGGAGGATCAGCTGGACAGGGTTGATGGCGCTTGGGTGTAAAGTGTGAGGAACCCTGCCGACGAGAGCATCGGGCAAGATTCAGAAG